ACGTTTTAAATTTCCCACAGAGGACGCAAAGGAGTGTGTGTTCTCCCCGATAGGCTGTGAGCTCACCGAGACCCCACCTGACTCGCTGTGTGTTGTCCCCAGAGCCTGGCGCTCGGCCGGTACTCAAAAAACGTGTCAACCACGTAAAAGCGGTAGATCCTCTGGGGTCCCACAGAACATGGAGTGAGTGGAGGAAGCCAACCATCCATCACCTACTCATCCGCTAGCCATTCACCCCCACCCATCCACCCCCCATCTATCCCTCCCCTGCCCACCACGCACCCGCCCATTCACTCCCATCCCCCCAACCATCTTTCTATCCACCCCCACCCACCCATCAGTCCGTCTCCCATCTACCCCCCACCCATCCATGCCCACAAGCACCTCCCACCTCCAGGACCCTGAGCTGTGTGACCATAGGAGTGGAGCCAAGCAGTCCTGCCCTCAGGGGTGATGGGCTGGGGGGACCCGTTTATATCATCGCTAGTTCATTGCTTTCTGAGAGCCCATCAGTCCAAGCAAGGGGTGGAGAAGCTTTCCCGGGCAGAGACATGTTAGCCAAATGAGAAGGCAATGGGGGGAGCCCAGAGTGTTCCTGGAGGACAGTCCCCCGTGGCCAGCCTGAGCGTGGCGCATCCAAGCGTGGCCGAGGAGTGAGGCGACACAGGGACAGTGGCCAGGCCCAGCCCACACACGCTCACCGTAGGTCGTCTTCTCCAGCAGCCGCCCGTCCTCACAGAAGTCATCGGTGGCTTTGCCCAGGAGGCCACGCACCGTGTAGTCCTGCCAGGACAGGGGGAGAGGTGGTCAGGGGCCCCCCAAGCCTCACACCCATGCGGTGCTATGCTGCTGCCGGGGTGAGGGCTGTAGGGTCTCCCCCAGGGAGCTCTGGGCTCAGCCCTGTCCCACTGCCTCTGGGGAAGGACCCTAGACTGTCCCAGGAATAGCCCCTGGCAGCCGGCTGCAGTGCTGACGGCCACCCCGGCCACCTATGCCGCCACTGCCGTGAGCCTCACCGTGCTGGGCCCTCCTGGCACGCCCTGCCCATCCGCTGAATGCACCCGTGGGGCTAACTGCTCTGCCCTAGCCGGGACAGTGATGACAACAGCAAGCCAAGGACAGGGACACTGGGCCTTTACCCCGTGCCAGTGACTGTGCTCATGTCTTACGCATGGCCACAAATTTAATCTCCAAAGTGACTCTACAGAGGAGAGACTCTCCCCACTCCCGTGTGAAAGAAGGAACGTAGGCACAGAAGTGGTGAGCGAGCCACCCCGGGCCAGACGGCAGAAGCTGGGTTTTGAGTGGAAGCCACCTGGCTTTGCACTTGTGCCACGAAGAACAAGGGCCTCGGGAGAGGCTCCCACACATGCGCGCGGGGCAAGCTCCACAGCCCGGCCTGGGCGCCAGCTCCCTGGCCCCGAGCTGCCGTCCCCATCCAGTCTCAGGGAGAGAATGGAGGAATGTCCTGACCAGCTTCTGCGGCTGGATGGATCCAGGTTCAAATACCAGGCCTGCCCCTCAGCAAGCGACCCTTCATCCGTGCCTCAGTGAGCTCGTCTGTGAAATGGACTGGCAACAGGCCCACTCACAGGGGCGCCGTGCGGCCTCCACACAGGGGTCTGAAGGCAAACACGCTGACAGTCACTAGTCTGTGACCGTCCGCCTCCTCTAGCACACGGCCGTTATTAAGCTTGCGGATGACCCGTTTCAGAATCCTGCGGGGACCCCCAGGGAGACCCAAAGGACAGGCAGCCGGCCGGCCCCCAGGCCCTGTACCTTGGTGAGGTGAGCGTTGTACATGTCGGTGAGGAGCCTGCGTCCACGTCCCACGCCGAGCACTGAAAGGCACCAGCCTCAGCTCACACCTGGCTCCCCCTCCTCCCTCCCCCGCCCCCGTCCCCATCCCCACCCCCATCTCCCACACTTCGGAGGGGAGGCCGCAAGAGGACAAGGAGGGCCTCCTCTAAGGGCTGGCGGCACATATATGCATAAGCAGGCGGCTGGGCCTACCCATAGCTGGGGCGGGGGCTGGGGTCCTTAGCAAGCCTCCCGGGGGACATTGAAGCATGCAAGTCAGAGCCTTTCGTCTCTGCCGGGTGGCACTAAGTATGTCCTACATCCTCCCCGGGCCTCAGGTGCCCCATCAGCAAAGTGGGAGAAAAGTCCTGTCTGACCCCCCTGGGTGTGGCCAAGGCTGAGCTTGTACAGTCAGCACAAAGGAAGGGCCCTCCAGACAGGGCCCTGCCTGCCATTCCCCAGCCTCCATGCACTCAGGGAGGGGAGTGGAGCGGAGGCATGAGCTCACGTCTGGCGGCTGTGTCCCCGGAAGCGAGACAAGAGGACTGAGTGTCGCACAGGCAGGATGTGACCTCCGCCTGACCCTGGGACACAGATGGCTCATGACTCGGGGCTTTGTGTGTCCAGACCTAGCGACAGCCAGACCCTGGCTAATAGGCCAGAGTCACGCAGTTGGTTACCCCACACGGGTAATGAGTTTTCCCTCTCTGCACCAGGGGCATTCACTAGCCACGCGACCCAGGACACGTCCTCTAAGCTCTTTTTTTTTTTTTTTTTTTTTTTAATAGAGGCATGTTTTATTTATTTATTTGTTTGTTTGTTCGTTTGTTTTGTTTATACATGCACTGGGTACAGTCAGAAGCGCGGGAGGGTGAGAGAATTCACCAGAGCCAGAGCTGGGAGCAGAGCAGGCAGAAGGACCGAAGTACACTGCTGAGGGGAGCAGCGGGCGGCAGGGGAGGTCTGCGCGCCATGTGGGACCCTCCTCCGGTGGCCGGGGAGCAGCCGGGGATCGAACCGGCGTCGCAGAGGCTGCGGGCAGCTTCGCAACCCAGCGCTCAACCGCTGCGCCACCGGGGAGGCCCCTCTAAGCTCTTGAGCCTTATTTCCTTCATCCATGAAATCAACATCATCTACCTAGGGAGTAGCTGCGGTGAGTACGTGCCCCAGAGGGCTTCCCACCTGTGAGATGCATGACTCACTGGATGCAGGTGGCACCCACCAGTCATCTCAGACCTGGACCGGATTCAGGGGAGGACAGTGGTGTGAAGTGGCTGTCGGCTTAGAAGGGGACTGGGCTCCTGGGAGTTGCCCGATCTTCCCCCAAGCCCCTATCTGTCTCCCTCCCCAGGCTCACCACATCACCTACCAAGCACCCCTGAAGCCTGGGCATCCAGCCGGTGTCCCACACCAATCTTCAAGTGGGTGAATGCTGGTCCACGTACTGGAAAGAGACAAAGGCTCCTTTCCTCAACAAATCCAGTTCCAGGATGGCTCTGGGCTGTACAGGGACCTCATTCCTAGAATGTAGCATCTTAAGAGTCCAAAACAGGGACTCACAGGCTTCCCCATCATGGAATCTGGGGTCTAGAATATTTCCTCAGTTCCCTGAGCCTAGAGAAAGGGCAACCCCAGATTACCCTGGCAATCACCCTCCCCACCCACACCCTCCTTCGTGTGAGAGGCTTCCCACAGTCACTCCCAAAATAGCGAAGGAGTCAGTCCACAGGCTGAATCCCAAACCAAAATCAGCGTTTTTTTTCTTTGTGGTCCATGAGTTAAGATGTATTTTTTTTAATGCCTTTTCAGTGATTCAGAGAATATTCAGAGTATACCTAGTGCTGTATGAAAATTACATGAAATACAGAAATATCAGTAATAATGACATAAATAAAGCTTTATTATAGCTCACTAATATTGGCTACAGTTGTTTTTGTGGGACCATGACAGAATTTAGCAACTGCAACAGAAATCACGTGGTCTAAGATACTACAAAGTCTCAGATACTTTACTATCTGGCTCTTTCCAGGAAAATAGGCCCAGTCCCTGGTCAAATACTTCAGGCCCACTGTGACCCTTCAGCACCAGGACAGTGGAGCATGAGCACCGACACTCACTCTGGGCTGTGACTTCCCGGGTCGTGGCACCCCCTCCCTGCCTAAATGTGCCTTACCCAGGGGATGGTCGGTGAGGCTGGGCACGCTGGTGGCCGTGAGGGTCAGCTCCTTCTCTTCGCTGCCTTCCACAGGGCCCAGCAAAAACCGAACACGCTGTTTAGGGGCAGGAGGCTTCCCAGCATTGAGACCTGAGCACACACAGGTAGAGAACATCGCGTCTGAACACCGGGGGGCCGCACTCCACACTCCAGGGAGGGCCTGGAGAGGCTGACGACAGACGCCAGCCCGCAGCGGTCAGAAAACAGACCCGGGTTCAGATCCTGACTCAGCTGCTTATGACAACGAGCAATACTGAGTCTGTTTACCAGCCTGAGCACAGGAGCAAGCGAGGAGCAACGGAGATTGAGAAACGGAGGATTAGCAAAACGTCCAGTCCCGGAGACCTGGTCACGTGACTTTATTTCCCAGAACGGCCGAGAAGCGGCGCGGGATGGCGCGCCAGGTTCGAGGCTCTCACCCTTCAGAAGCTGCAGCTCCACGGTATCCCGCACGTGCTCCCATTTTAGTCCCGGGGCTTGTAGGTCGCGAAGAGCCCGTGAAGTCGCGCCAGGCAGGCGGACCCCATGCCCCGAGCCCGCGGCCGGCGCCCGTGTTAAAGCTGGACCTGCACGGAAGTGCCGTACGGTCCTACCCCCAATGTGGTACCTACTATGGGCGCCGCCATGCTGCCCCCGCCGGAAGAGGGTCCCGTCTTATTGTCCTCGGGGGAAAACATGCTGGGGAGAAGGAAGTAGGGTCCGGCGCCGAGCCCCAAAGTAAGCGGCGCTTGTACGTCCTTTTGGAGCCCGTTTCTGGGCAATGGGAGAATGTTATATCGATGGAGCCGATGAGGCACAGGTCGCCTTCTCACACTGAGCGAAAGCGCCCTTGCCTGCCCGGCCACGACTTCCCCCCTCCAAAGCGCCCGCTCCGCGGAGTACAGCGCGAGCCCTTTTGGTGCCTCCGGCGCTCCGTCGCCAGCGCAGTCGGGACGTCACCCTCGCGGCGCCTGCGCCCCAGCTGACTCGCCGAGCGCCGGCTGCCATGGCGACGCTGCTGCGCCGGGCCCTGCGCCCCTTCCGCCCCCTCCGGGGCCGCCCGGGGCCGGCTGCAGGCGAGTGGCCGCGGCTTGGGGGGAGGGCTGGGGGCGCCGGGCGCCTTTGACCCCCGCCTTCTTCTTGCCCCGCAGACGCGCCGCTCCGCGCCGCCAGCCGAGGCGCCGGCCTGCTCTACCCCGAGCACATCCCCACCTCCCCGCTGCAGAAGGCGCTGCTGGCCGCCGGCTCCGCGGGAATGGCGCTCTGCGACCCGTATCGCCACGGTAAAGCCACCGGCGCCCGGCCGCCGCGTTGGGGCAGCCAGGGCTCCGGGCACGCCCTGGCCTCGAAGACTGGGCCGCTCCCGACCTCTGTCAAAGCCCGTTTCCCGTGGGTGTCTGCAGAGTAGGCCAGGTCTGGGCGCCCCGGCTGGCGGCACTTCTGCGGCACCCGCTGTGCTCATGGAAATGCCAGCCGCGGGTTCCATTCTAAACTCACTCAATCCCAATTCGCCGGCCTGGGGGGGGGGAGGAAGGACCGTGGATCTGAGCTCCTGCCTTTTTAAACTACTTTCCGGCAGATTCTGTCATCCGGCCACATTGAGAACCTCTGTACTAAACAGATGATTCGTAAGCACCCATCAAATGATAACATCCCACTGGAAATTAAACTTTGAAGTCAGAGACCATGTCCCACTGTGTCCGCGGCACATGGGATTTTGCCTGATACCTTATATATGTTCCATAGATGCTTGCTGAGGTATGAATGGAACATCCTGGTATTCTCTAGCTTTGCTCCTATTAAAAATGGTCATATAAAGCGCTCACTAAGCACTCCTTTTGGCTGCTCACTGCTCTGTTTTGTATGTGTGATGTTGAGTTTGCACATTAACCCCATAGAACACTGAAGAAGTTGGAAAGGCGAAGAAGTTGGTGCAAGGTCACCTAGATAATGATTGCACCTGGGCTCAACCCAACACTGATGCCAAAGCCTGTACTTGTTGATAGAGATGTGATATTCTGATTTACAAACCCCTTAGCACACTGCTAGCCAGAGCCACCTTATCCAGAGAGATCAGCAGTAATAATAACTATGATTATATTGAGCCCTGGGAGGTCTGATTTGCTATGTGTGTGGAGTGAATCCTCATAGTGAAGGTGGACATTATCCCTGTTTTGTCGGGTAGGAAACTTATGAGGGATCATATCCTCCACCTGTCCCCATTTCTTTCCTTTCAGACATGGTTGCAGTTCTAGGGGAGACCACTGGACTCCGTGCCCTGAAGCTCCTCAGAGACCAGATGAGGAGGGATCCAGAGGGTGCCCAGATCCTGCAGTAGGTGCCAGCCCTGCCTGGAGCTTGGGGGCATTCTCTAGGATCCTGCTCTCTCTAGAGTCATATTGTATCAGACTCTTTCCCTTAGGGAGCTCATCCTGATACTTTGGCACAGGGGACTGGGCACTGCCCAGCTCCACTGGTGCCATCCACATAGACAGCATGACAACCCCTGGGTAGTGCTATGCAGTGGCCTCCACAGAGCTTTGTGCCTTCACCGAGCTCCTATAACATGTACTAGCTGTACCTCCCACCCCCATGGCAGTGCCCTCTGACTACCCTGACCACATGCCCTGCTAGCAGGAGCCATGTCCTCAGTTCATGCTCATCTGCTCAGTTCCTGCCGCCGGCCTGCTAGTAACAGGCGTCCCATTAGGGCTTGCGGCTTCCTTGCTACTCCTTCACCTCTCGCAGCCTTGCTCTAGCTAGACCTTCTGCCTGCTTCTTCTGCCCCCTCCCAATACCTGAGTGCCCCTTCTGCCTACAGGGAACGCCCCCGGATCTCACTGTCCACCCTCGACCTAGGCCAGCTCCAGAGCCTGCCTCAGGGCTCCCTGGGCCGCGAGTATCTCCGTTTCCTGCATGAGAATGTGAGTTTCCAGCTTTTGCACATCTGCGGTCACCAGGAAGGGCAGAGAGGAGTCTGGACTGCCACCAGGGACAGGAGTGCTTGTCAGCCTCTGTGCCAAGGCTTTGTCATTTTCCTTGGGTCAGGCAGATGGGCTGTGAACATCGTTTTTATCAACTATATTGGCCAGCATTTATTAACCCCTTACTGCAGGCCAGATGCCTCCAACCATGCTATCAAGTCTGTTCTATTATTATCCCCTTTTCATGGAGGAGAAGGCTTACTCCGTGCAGTTAAGCAACTTGCTGCTTTCACACAGCCAGTGTTCATGGAGGCAAACCCAGATCACGTTCTTAACTGCTGGTGCACTCTGTCCCCCTATTCCGGGGACAGTGTTTCTCTCTCTTGGCTATGGCAAAACTGGCACTCTCCAGCCCAAGGCAGGAAGGATAGTGGCTGGGGTGGGGAACCCCAGCTCCTCAGGGACTCCTTTTGTTGAGCGCCTGCCCTGTGCTGTGCTGGCTGTTGTTCCAGGTGCTGGGGAACTAAACCACTAACCAGATAGCCCCTGCCCTCACAGCGCTCATTCTCTAGTCAGGGAGGCAGACATTAAAGCTGTAAAATAAGAAAATTCACATGAGGATTCAGGCAGAATACTAGCAGTAATTAAAACGTGCCAGAATGATTGGTACGCAGGGAATAAAACCAGCAAAGAGCCTGCCCGTGTGGCGCATCCATCAAGCAGATGGTGAGGCCGGCCAGCGTGATCAGGACAAGGGCGGGGTGGGAGCTTGGCCGCTTCTCCCAGGGTGGTCAGGAGAGGCCCCACTGAGGAGACCTGGGAGAAGAGAGGAGCCTGCCCTGAGGAGAGCAAGGAGGAATATTCCCGCCAGTGCCAGGCTGTGCTTAAGGACAACACGCCTAGAGGTGTGCGCTGGGGGTGGGGGCAGCCAATGGGCTGGAAGGTCAGCCGGGCCAGAGCCTGCAGCCGCGGAAAAGGGTCTGTATTTTGTCATAGAAGCACTAGGAAATCCAGGAGGGTTCCGAGCAGGACAGTAATGTGATCTAATTTATTAAAGGATTTGGGGTACAGCTGGACCCCTTCACACTCCCCGCACATACACACCCATGACAAGCGGTGGCCCAGCCCAGCTGCAGGAGCCACCAGGCTGGAGGAGGCGAAGGATGCGTGGAAGTTGCTTTAGAACAGGGTTTTTCAACCCTGACCCTGATGACATTTTGGGCCAGATAATGCTCGATTGTGGGAGCTGTTCTGTGCCCTGAAGGATGTTGAGCAGCTTCCCTGGCCCCTACCTACCCAGCCTGGCCAGTAGGTTGAGTAACACTCAGCCACTAAGCTGTGGCCGCCACAGATGTCCCCAGACTTTGCAAATGCTCCCTGGTGGACAGTTGAGAATACTGTTCTAGAAGCTACTGTCCCGGAGACGCTCTGCCCCCCATGCTGCGCTGACGCCTGCCCCTGCCCCCTTTCACACCCTCCCCCTCAGACTTCATGAGGACCAACTTGTTTCATCACGTTGGGGTGATCTGCCCCAAGTGCCACCCAGGGAGGGACAGGCTTCTCAAGTTGCCCTGAACCCTTCATCCTGTGGCTGTGGAGGGGAAGGGACCACCAGCACCTCCCTGGCACCTTGCCCAGTCAGCCCTTTTTGTGGTGACAGCCCTAAGTTGATGCCACTTCTGGAGCCCGGAACCCAGCAGCCCACAGGATGTGAAAGACACGTTTGTCCCAGCAGAGATTCATATTGAGGTTCAAAGTGAGGGCACCTGCCCCAAGGCTGGCACGGCAGGGAGAGTCACCCTGTGGCATCAAGATTACGGCAGGGCTAGAGTTTAGAGCGGCCTGCCTCTCTTCCCAGCTTTATGGCCCTGGGTAAATCATTGGACCCCTCTGCACCCGGATTCCTTATATATGGGGGAAGGGGACCTAAGATTTATCTTTCACAGCGTTTCTGGGGTTTGGTAATAATGGACGTTAGGCCACTGGCTTGGGAATGCAGCCGACTTTGTTTCAAACGCTGACTCAGCCATCTGATCAGCAGTGGCTCTGGGACAAGCTGCTTCCGCTCTCTGAGCCTTGATTTTCTTATCTATATCAGAGGCTCCTGGCAGGATCCCCCCAGATGGTCTGAGGGTGAGGGACGAGAACACAGGCAAGGGATGTCCTGGGGTGCTGGCACCAGGAGGGACTCAGTTAACTCGCTGCCAACCCTCCGATCACCTTCAGCTTTGTGCAGCAGCTCTTGTTTGATTTGAAGGGCACCTTGCAGAGTTGGGCTCCTGTACCTAACTGACCGGGCCATTTTGACCTTGCTTGGGATTTAGAAGTATAGGTGACAAAATGGTGGCCGAACAGGCTGCTTAGGCGTAGCAGACCCACACAGGTGGGACGCTACTGATGAAAGCCGGCCTGGGGCCCAGTGAGGCTGCAGACCTGAGCCCAGCCCCTGACAGTGAGGACACCCCGTGCCTCTACCTCTCGCAGCCTGTGGCTGTACTTTGGGAACAGGAAGACCAGGCTGTACCCACTCCTGGGTGCAACGGAGGACTCAGAGAGGCAGTGGGTGGGACTGGCCTTAGACCCCTGCGTTTAGGGGTCACTCACCAGACCCTGGAGACACAACAGTGAGCAAAACAGCCAGCCCAGCCCCTGTGCCGCTGACAGGCCCCCGGGACACACACAGGCCACATAAATCATTTAGCTCCTCCGCCCGCCACGTCAGTGAAAGCAACAAGAAACAGGTGGAGTTCACTCCATGGCCTGTTTTGTTTACCCGAACACATCTTAGCACATGACCATCTCGAGATGCAGATATCTTTACGTTTTGTCTGTTTCACATTTTGTCTTCGTACTAAGCCTCCAGCAGCCAGGATGTGTTTTTCACACGCAGCACCGCTCCCCTTGTCACCTTGCAAGGCTCCCCTTGTCACCCCAAGAGGCCCGTGGCAGCTGTAGGGGTCTGCGCAGGCTTAGGAGACAATCCCCCACACTAGACATCCCAGGCAGCCATGTCGAGTGCCCCCAAAAGGCAGGGAGGCTGCAGAGGCTGGAACGCGTGCCCGGTCCATCCTCAGGGACAGCCCACACTGAGCGGCGTTAAACCAGGTCGTGCGGGGTGAATCGGTAGGAATTGTCAGGTGAAGCTGAGGGTGGTGAGAGAGCACCCTGGGCTGGGAGCACCGCACCCCAAGGCCCAGGGTCCTTGGGGGCTGCTTTGTTTCTTTTTCCTAATTGCAGTTTAAAAAACTAACAAAATCTGGGCCTCCCAGGTGGCGCAGCGGTTGAGCGCTGGGTTGCAAAGCTGCCCGCGGCCTCTGCGGCGCCGGTTCGATCCCCGGCTGCTCCCCGGCCACCGGAGGAGGGTCCCACATGGCGCGCAGACCTCTCCTGCCGCCCGCTGCTCCCCTCAGCAGTGTACTTCGGTCCTTCTGCCTGTTCTGCTCCCTGCTCTGGCTCTGGTGAATTCTCTCACCCTCCCGGCTTCTGACTGTACCCAGTGCATGTATAAACCAAACAAACAAACAAACAAATAGATAAATAAATAAGACATGCCTCTAGAAAATTAAAAAAAAAAAAAAAAAAAAAACTAACAAAATCTGCCATTTCTCACTGTGCGGCTGGGCTGGTAAGGACCTTGCATGGCTGTCAATCTCCAGAGGTTTTCTGGTGAAGCGGAAACTCTGTCCCCATTAACCAACCTCTGCTCCCCCCATACACACACTCCGTGTTTCTTCAGCCTGAACCTCAACAGGCCACATACTCTATGCCTGCGTGGGAGGGGGCGCCCTCCACATTGCTGCCCACGGGCAGGGTGTGAGCTTGGTGGCAGTGGTGGACAGTCCAGGGGAGGTTGGCCAGCGGGGCCCAGGGACTATTGGGAAGGGGTCTAGGGGAGCTTCACGGTTGTCAGAGGGTCTCCCCAGATACCCGGGCACCCACCCGCTTCGTGGATGACGAAGAGCTGGCGTACGTGATCCAGCGGTACCGGGAGGTGCACGACCTGTTGCACACGCTGCTGGGGATGCCCACCAACATGCTGGGTGAGAGCCCAGGCCGGGTGGGGCGGGGCGTGGGGCGGGTGTAGGGGGTGGCCAGGGACCCTGCCCAGGGCTGGCTCGGTACTGCCTCTTCTGAACATCTCACATCAGTGCCGGGCACGTCCTCTCCTCCGGCCCCACAGCCTCTTCACGCTCCGACACAGACATGGCAACTGCTCGGGACCGGGGTCCCTGCCATGTGCTCCCCTGCTTGGGAAGCGCTCAGCAGCCCCTGAGGCCTGTGGGAAACAGTCCACACGCTGCTGCCTGGCCTGTGGAGTCCTCTGCTTTCTGACCCGAGGCTCCCTCGCTGGCCCTTCTCCCCTCAGGCTGTTCCTTGGGCCCTTCCCTCCACCTCCAGCCAAGTGTCCCAGGCCCAGCATGGCCAGACTGGGCAAAGCTGGCCCTGGGGAGAGACCAGAGAGGAGCGGACGCCTGCAGTGCCATGCTGGGAGCACTGCTGGCCTCTCCTGACCTCTGCTCACCTCCCACCCACTCCTCATCCTGCCCGCAGGGGAGATCGTGGTGAAGTGGTTTGAGGCTGTCCAGACGGGCCTGCCCATGTGCATCCTGGGTGCGCTCTTTGGACCGATCCGTCTCAGTGCCCAGTAAGTCCTCAAGGGGCCAGGGGCCAGGGGCTGGGGGCCAGGCAGGGGTTCTCCAGGAAGCGGGGGAGAGAGGATGGAGAGAGCTAAAATTGGCCTGGCCGGGTCTCCGGGGAGCAAGTGCAGCCTGGATGTTTCTAGCATTGTTTCAGGAGTAGGAAGCCTGGCACTTCCTCATGCGCTGGGCTGTTCACGACTTGTGGCTTCGGGTTCCTCATTTGAGTGGGGGGATAACGACGTGAGCATGTGAGGACTGCCCTGGGAGGCGCACACCCACCGGGGCTCATGGCGTGCCCGCCCCCGAAGCCTCCTGTCTTCACTTCCCTGTGCTGCCCGCAGGAGCCTGCAAGTGCTGGTCTCGGAGTTGATCCCATGGGCAGTTCAGAGCGGGCACCGAGCCCCGAGTGTCCTCAACCTGTACTATGAGCGGCGCTGGGAGCAGCCCCTGAGGGCTCTGCGGGAGGAGCTGGGCATCACCGACCCCCCATGCGTGACCAGAGCCTCTCCGCGCCCCTGAGCCGCTGAGCCAGGAGGGCCTGACCCAGCCCCACACACCCTGCTTCCCCGGGACAGAGGCTGCTGTGCCGCTGCCGAGTTCTTTCTCTTTGAACGCCGGCCCTTGGACATCTGTCATCTGAGTTGGTCACAGCCGCGGCCGAGTGGCTCGGAGGACTGGTCCAGGAGGAGCAAGCGGCGCGAGGGGCTCGCCGCCGAGCCGGGAACTACCCCAGGGGACCCACACGTGAGAGGAACCAGAGGTCTGGGCTCGGGCGGGATGTCCCGGTTCAAGGACCCCCGTTCCAGGCCCCTCTGCCAGCCAGGGTTTTCTGGGTGCCAGACTGGGGGTCCTGGCAGTGAGGGCTCCACCCAGATTCCAAAGGCCTAAGTGGCAGGAGGCTGAGGGAGGGGGCATCTCTGCCTTCTGAATAAAGGCTCTTACCAGCCCTGTGTCCACTTCTCCTGCCTTTGCCTGCTTCTGCCCGCAACTGGACTTGGCCTTTCCAGCACCCAGAGCAGAAGTTCCTCCAGCCTGAGCTGCAGGCTTGTCCTGCCCCCTCTGGTCAAGGATTCAAGCTGCCTGTTCTCCACCGTTCCCTGTCCAGTCCCTCCCTTTTCTGAGCTGGTGTCACCAGAAAAGGTGTCACCAGAAAAGCGGCACCCGTGTGGGCTGTTAAGGGGTTTTCCTGAGGCGCCGCTAGGGGCACTTTGCTCAGGGCCCTGGGCGGGATGTTTGAGTGGGTGGAGGAGACACCTCCATTTTGGGGCCACAACCAGCTGTGTTTTGGCATGGCCACAGGCCTCTTCCTTGGGTCAGAGTCAAGAAGTGGGACAGTTGGGGTGAGAAGCATCATTGAAGAGCAGTGGCCCCGTCTTGGGACTTAGAGCCAGAACACTCTCAGGATGGCAGGGCCTGTCACACCATTTCCTTTACCATGGTCTGAAGTGCCTTGAAGTGCATCTGCTCCAGGAGGGCAGGGGCTGTCCCTCCCTGTCATGCCCGTTAGCAGTATCAGCCATGGGGCATTGCTCTCCGGCATAAGGAGCAAGTTCCTACCCCGTGCTGAGTGCCTGAGCAGCAAAATCTTGTTCCTTCCCCCTAAAAACCTCACTTCACGGCAACGTGACGTGGTCTCAGGTTCGGGGAGAGCCCTAGGGTGACACAGCTGGTGTGGAGTGGAGCCTGTCCCAGACACACAGGCCCCAGGCCTCTGCCAATAGCCAAGGGCAAGCTCCCTTTCCCCTGCCTGATAGAAGCCAAGAGGAGCTGACCCCAGAGCAGTGTTTGGGGGTACAGACTTTGATGGCAAACCAAGCCCTGCCACTGACCAGCCCTGCACCCTCACAGTGGTCATGCCACCCTCGGAGCCTCTTTTCTCTGTAAAATGGGGAGAACACAGACCTATGTACCAAACAGAGCCAAGTGCACGCACCGTGCCTTAGCCCACAGCAGTCACTTAGGAAATGGAAGCTGCACTTGCCAGGAAGGCCTTTCAAGGCCTCTGACGTCCCCAAGTACACGGTCCAGAGGAGGTGTTTGTTTTGCACACACGCAGAGTGGGAAGATCTGACAGCTTAGGGGTCCTGATGCCAAGGGCTGCCAAACTCACATGGGGTAAGCCTCAACCATGTGCCAGGCACCACATTGCATAGCCCTCACCCTCACCCCCGCCCCTGGAGGTTCAGTCCCAAGTGAGTCCAAATGAAATGGCAAGTGCTGACAAGTCTGGAGGTTTAAGCACTAAGGTTAGTTCCCCAGAAGGGGGTCATGTCAGTGAAAAGGGGCCCACTGTGAGGTCCTCCTAAGCTCAGCTGTTCGCACAAATGACGGGACGAGCACCTGCCCTTCTTAAGAACCCCCAATGGCTCTTGACCGCCCCAAGATAACTCCTCAGCCTGTCATGCCAATCTCTCTTCGCCACACCCCATGCGCACCCCCCACCCCTGGGCCCTGTGTCCTAATGCACAAGCCCACTAGACTTTGATCGTTTGGCACATTTCTGAGCGTTTGCTGGCTACGAGGCTTCTGCAGTGACAGAGACCACTGCATCCCCATCTGCTTGGGGTAGAACAGCACGGCAGCTGTTGCCTCCCTGTGCCAGCCCTGTGCACCCTCTCCCTGAACAGCGATGGCTGAATTCCCATTGTACAGATGAGGCTCTCCAGGGAAAGAGGCGATTTGCCCAGTGTCTTACAGCGGTGGCTGGGGACGTGACCCAGATGTGTCTGACCAGAAGCAAAGAAGACAGATCACAGTAAAAGGTACTGAGTGTTGACAGAAATACAATGAGAACTTGATGAGGAAACGCCTGGAGAGTGAATCTCCACCCACCCTCTATGTGTCCAGCCAGACTATAAGCAACCGGAAGGCAGGCTCTTGTTCCCTGCGTGTCCCCTCGTATCTACCCCTTCAGCCTGGCGTCCAGTGGGGCACAGTGTTGGCTTCACCAGTGTGAGGTACTGGGTGGAGGAGAGCTGGGGCGCTGGTCACCACTGCCCCCCTAAACACTCACTTTGCATATGGTCTCAGCATTCAATGTGGAAATAATCATATTTACACCCATGGATCCTGGTGTGGGTAAGCTCAGAGTCTCCAATTTACTTTTTCTGTCATTCATTCAACAATTTTTTTTTAGATTTTATTTATTTTTGTGTAGAACTGGGGTGTAGACCAGAGGTGCAGGTTGGGGGTGAGAGGATTCACCAGAGACAGGGTGGGGAGCAGAACAGACCTATCTACTGAAATCCACTGCTGAGGGGAGCAGTGGGGAGACAGGAGAGGTCTGCTACACCATGTGGGTAGCTCTCTGGCTGGGGATGGAACTCAAGCTGTTGGTGATGACAGTGCCTAGGGTACCCGGGAGAACCCTTAGTCAACAGACACTTAAGGAGTTTCTGTTGTGAGCTCAGTGGATACAATCAGAGCTCATTGTGTCCAGATTTTGATCCCATAGGTGGAGTCAATGAACTTGTGAGCTACAATAATAAATACAGCACAGGGAACTTCAAATGCTTCCTATGACTTTCCACACCAACCCTTTGACTTTAGTCTGCCCCCATTGTTTTACATATAAGAAGAAATGGAGACTTTGAACTTATAACTGAGAGAGAGTGACCCAAGTCTGTTGGATGCCAAGAACCACAACCATAACCATGGTACCACACTGCCTCTGGACTGCCATGCTCACAGGGAAGATGGTGTTTTCATTTATCCAGGTCCCCCAAAAGGATGCATCCTATAATCTGGAAGAAATAGAGCTAATCCTTGTCAGGTCAAAAAATAACTTTTAATCTCTAAGAACAGACCTGGCAAGCTGTCCCTTCCCCACTTAGCAGTGTCTACTAAACTCAGGGGTCTATTATTTAAGGACCAGTAATGACTGTGGGTGCCCACAGTTCACAGACGACTGGGCATCAGGGAACCAAGTAATCAGAGGCTTAGAGCCCCGCAGGGCTGGGAAACAGGCAGGTGGCCTGACAAATAAGGCCCTAGGCTTAGCGTTAACTGATCTGCTGCGGAGGCAAGTTCAGGTGCAGAGCAGTTTCCTACCTAAACGCCAAGTTCCCAAGTTCGTTGCTCTCTCAGCAGCAGAGGTAGAGACGCCAGCGTCAGGTCTGCAAGTGACTGCGGGTTCAGGGCACTGGAGGGGGAGTCCCTAAATCCCCAGGGAAAATGAGGGAGGGCTGCCCAAACTCAACGCCGGTGGGACTCGAACCCACACCTTTTGAAGGTCCACAGCAGGATCTGCGGGAAGGCCACCGCGCCCCAGGGCCGGGCGCCTGAGTCTCCCCCCCAGGCTCACATCTCTGCTTTGAAACCGCCCTTTTAGCGCTCCTTTAGGCGTGGCGCTGGGCTGGGGCCGAAATCCGCCCCGAGCTGGGCGCGGACTCCGGGCTCTCCACGGCTGGTGGGGCCGCGCCCCGCGGCTGCGGACAGCCCGGCCCCGCCCCGCCCGGGCGCAGCGGAGACTGCGGGCTCCTGCGGGCCGCGCGGACTACAACTCCCGGCGTGCCTTGCGGCGCCGGGGCCGGGGTGCGCGCGGCGCTCGGGGCCGGGCTGCGGCGGGCGGCGGCGGCTCGCGGGGTGCGCGGCGCCGCGGGCTCTGCGGCGCGCCGGCCCGGGGAGGCGCGGGAGGCGGAGCTCCCGTCCGGCGCAGCCGGTTTAGGCGGCGGGAGGCGGGCGGGGGAGGAGCGCCGCGGGCGGGGCCGGGCGGGCGGCGGGGCCATGCAGGGCGCGGAGCCGGCGAGCGCCGCGGAGACCCGGCTCTGAGCGCCCGAGGGCGGCCGATGCCCCCCGCGCTCCCCGCGCCGCAGCCGCAGCCGGGCCGCATCGGGACTGGGCGCCGCGCTGCGGGGCCGACGCCGGGTAAGCGCAGGCCAGGCCGGGGTCCCGGGCGTGGGGAGGAACCCGGCGTGGCGGGAGGTGGCGGGGCCGGCCCGGGACGGGGGCGCGCCCGCCGGCTCCGGCTCCTTGCGGGGCGCGCGGCCACCTCGGCTCCTCAGGGGCCGGCGCGGTCCGAAGCGACCCGGGACGGGGCCCGCAGGGACTGGGCATCCCTTCCCCTCCGCGCCCCATCCCCCAGCTTGCGCCTGGGCTCCTGCCTTCTGCCCTGGAGAACTCTGGGAGCCCCCGGTCTCAGCACCTTGGAGACCCAGGCATCGAGGCCGGGGGCACCGGTTCTTCCCCTCCCGGCTTCTGCTTTGCGGTGGAGGAGGGCAGTGTGGGCCCTAAGGGCTCCCCGGGGCCGGAGCATGTCCTCATCGTGACTTGGAGACTCGCAGGCCGCCTCCTAGTCGTGACCTTCAGCCCCCGCCCAGGAATTGGACAACAGAAGGAAAACAGACCCATCTGCTGTCCCCTGGAGCAAGCCAGGAAAGCGCCAGGAATTAGAGCCCAGGAGACTTACTCTCAGCCCAGCCATCCCTTCTCCTACCCTTGAACACGAGTCCTGGGGGACTCGTCTGAGTGACTTGGCGGGTGTTTTCGTGGGGGTGCCTTTCGAGGCCCTCTTCCTCTGCCTCAAATCCTTTCCCCCCTGGGCGGTCACCTCTGGGCACCTGGACTGGGGAACCCGTTCGCTCCGTCGCCCTCTGTGGGCCGAGAGAGGCATGACGCCCGAGCCTGTGGGCAGGGACCTTGCAGGGTCCCTTTCCTGGGAAGATGCCCCTGGCGCGCTGTGGCTTGGCCTGGTCATCCTCAGGCTCTCCCTGGGCCTCTGTGTGGGGAGCCCAATCAGTGGCGCTTAAATCAGTATCCCCCACCCCCAAGCCATTTGGTTAGGAACCTCGGATGTCAGGAGAGTGGAATGTCCTGTTTTGGCCAGAAGGGCCTCTGGAGACAAGCCTTACTACACCCATTGTGTCAAGGGGGAGCTGAAGGCCAAAGTCCCTCAGAGAGTCCTAGGCAGAGATGGGACTAGGGGCTACACCCCAGCCTTGCCTCTCACCCTTGGAACGCTCCTCAAGTCCTGCACCTCTAGCCTTCCCCTCCAGTTGGAAGGGGACCCCGTCCTCAGCCACCCACTCGGTACGGCCGAGTCGCACTACTGGTTGGTGCTTTGGGATCACTGTGGCCTGGCCTCTGGGTCAGGAGGTGGATGACCCGGACATTTGGGTCCACTGACCGCCCTTGCCCACAGGCCACAATGCTGCTCGGGGCCTCTCTAGTGGGGGTGCTGCTGTTCTCCAAGCTGGTGCTGAAGTTGCCCTGGACCCAAGTGGGATTCTCTGTGCTGCTCCTCTACCTGGGGTCCGGCGGCTGGCGCTTTGTCCGAGTCTTCATCAAGACCATCAGGCGCGATGTCTTGTGAGTACCCGGTCCAGCCCTTCCTAGGATCTTCCACACTGTGCTGGGCTCCTAACTCCCCAGAACTCCCCACGCCTCTACCAGCACAGGATATCCGGGACCCAAAGGAGCAGCCTCTGCTCCACGTCCCCCTGTCCCCTGGCAATAGTACCCAGTACCTGCACCTCCAAGGTCAAAGTCTCCTTAGTTTGGGGCAGACTTGGGGGCTGGGACATACACGGAATAGCAGGGGTTGAAGAGACATCTGCAAGGGGTCCCAGGGACACGCTGTGCTGGGAATGTTGTCTTTGGGTGTTGGCATGAATTCTAGAGCAGGGCCCCAAGTCATCACATGCTCCCCAAAGAAAAGTCGGGGATATCCTGTATCAGAAGCACCTGCCGCCACCTGCTCCACTCCAGGTGCCAGGCTGGCTCTAGGGCCACAAAGGAACAAGGCAGGCCCAGACCTGGGCCCTGCTCAAATTGGCCAGGGAGGGAAGAGGACACAGTGAAGCCCTAAACAGACAAACGTGGACAGAGACCCTGGCGGCCCAGCAGTGGCCCAGCAGAGCAACCCCCGCCCAGAAGAGGCAGCTCTGCATTTGTCAACCTGAGTTGATTGCAAAAGGAGGTATCAAGTGACCCGCACAGGAAGGGTGGGAGGTGCAGTGAGCTGTGGGAGCCCGGAGCAAGGAGGGGTGGCTTCAGGCCAGGGCCTCAGGGAGGGCCAGGAGTTGCACTGGAGAGGCATCTACAGTAGATGGGAGCAGAGGAGTCCAGCCAGAGGGTATCAGCAAGTCCATCAGCCTGGCATCAGCAAAGGCAGCGAGGCGGGGAGCTGGAAAGTTCAGAGGCAGAGGGGTGGGGTGGGGCAGGACGGGGAATACCAGGCCATTCCACGGACACTTATTGACCATCTCTGTGCCTGGCCCCGAGCGACCCAAGGGACATGGTGGTGAACAGGACAGAGCCGCGCCCTTATTGGACTCACAGATGGAAGACTGGACAAATCGCAGACTCATCGTTTATTTACTGTGACGACGGGGGTGGGGAGCTATGGGAGGCCCCAAAAGGTTTCAGACTTTGACTTGGGGCCTCGGTGTCCTGGAAGGCTCGACAGCAGCTGGCTTGGAACAGGACTTAGAGGGGAGTAGAAATAGAACTCTGGAATCAAAGAGGACTGGGGTTCCAGACTCCATTGGGCCACAGACCATCTGAAACCTGAGGCAGGGCTGGCACTGGCCCAGCCTGGCCTTCCTCCTCCACACAGGGAGGAAGTGATTCCCCCCACCCATGCTGCCTTGGGGCATCGGGCGTGCTGGTGCACGTGATAGTGACAGTGCTGGAAAGGGGCAGTGGTACAAGTGATCGAGCCCCCCTGTGCACAGCAGCCCCCAGGCTGGCTGGCTGGACCCCCCCCTCCCGGCCCCAGCAGTCACGGCTCCCCACTTGCTCCCGCAGCGGCGGCATGGTGCTCCTGCGAGTCAAGGCAAAGGTTCGCAAGTACCTGCAGGAGCGGAGGACCGTGCCCATCTTATTTGCCGCTACGGTACGGCGCCACCCCGAGAAGACGGCGCTGATCTTCGAGGGCACGGACACCCACTGGACCTTTCGCCAGCTGGATGACTACTCGAGCAGCGTGGCCAACTTCCTGCAGGCCCAGGGCCTGGCCTCGGGCGACGTGGCAGCCCTCTTCATGGAGAACCGCAATGAGTTTGTGGGCCTGTGGCTGGGCATGGCCAAGCTGGGTGTGGAGGCCGCACTCATCAACACCAACCTCCGGCGGGATGCCTTGCGCCACTGTCTGACCACCTCCCGGGCCCGTGCCCTCATCTTTGGCAGCGAGATGGCCCCAGGTGAGCCCCCAAAGGGTGGGGGTCTGGCAGGGAGTCCCATGGGATCTTGCACAAGCCACAGCTCCTTTCTGGCTGTGGGGAGGGGGGCTGTATGGCTCAGTGGTGAGGCCTGGGCTCAGCCAGCGGTTAGCTGAAGATGCTGAGTAAGAGACTGGAAGTGCCTACGCCTCAGTTTCCTCACTGTAGTCCCGACCTCGCACCGCCTTCAAGCTGCTTCACTTGAAGCACTAACAGTGATGCTGGGTGAGGCCTCAGATATTCCCAGACTAGTGAGGCCTCTTCACGTCCTCTACAAAGTGGGAACGAGACTCCATTCCCTGCCCTCCTGCCGCGCTTGCATTTTGTTTGCTGCCACCTTGGGCGGAGACCAAGTGCTGAATGGGGGAGCTTTATAAGAGCTGCCCTGATCCCCACAAAGCTGGTAAGGTCACCAGCTTTAAAGATGAGGAGACTGAGATTCAGAGCGGGGTGAGGAACTCAGCCAAGGTCGCCCAGCTGGGAAGTGGCGGAACTGAGATTTGATCTTGGACTTGGCCACGGTGTCCTGTTCTTTCTCCCCTTACTGCTGCGGTTGTGGGTAATGGACAGGGAAGGTTCCGAAGATGCTGGAAGGGGAGGAGGAAGGATGCAGCAGGGAGAGGGAGGGGTTGGGACGAATCTGGAGGAAGCCAGAGGAAGCAGGCAAGGTGGGCCAGGAGTGGCTTTGCCCAGACTAGTGAGTAGCTGGACATCTGCAGTACATGGGGAACCTGAGAGAAAGGTCCGCTCTCTAAAGAGGCTGGGGGGGTCACTGCCCTCTGACCCCCATTCCTGCCTTCTGACTGGTCCCACACAGAGCAGTGCGCAGTGGGCAAGCGTGTGTGGGACAGAGGTGTTGTTGAGGCCCAGCCCTAGCACATTCTAGCGCAAGTGTCTCCTGTTCTCAGAGCCTCGACTTCCTCTCCTGTAAAATGGGGTGTGGTGTTATCTCCCTCCTAGGGTTATTGTTTAGAATCCCGCGGTGTCATGAGCTGGCAGTGATGGGAGCCTGGGCAGAGGTCCTGGGGTTTCCTGGCCTGCCTGCCGATCTGCCCTGTCTCCCCTGCAGCTGTCTCTGAGATCCATGCCAGCCTGGACCCCTCCCTCAGCCTCTTCTGCTCCGGCCCCTGGGAGCCCAGTGCCGTCCCCACCAGCACGGAGCACCTGGACCCCCTGCTGGAAGATGCTCCCAAGCACCTGCCCAGTCGCCCTGACAAGGGCTTCACAGGTGGGCCCCGCCCCCACAGAGGGCTTCCGGCAAGGCCCAGGACTGAGCACTGGCCTGGGTTCTGCACATGTGCTGTGTGACCCGGACTGAGTCACACCGCCTTCCTTCTTCCTCTGGCACATGGGGGGTGGTCACCCGGGGGTCACTATGAAACTTAATTGAGCTGAAATGCGTGAAAGCGCCAGGCACAGAGCCCGCACACAGGCGCTCACATTCTAGCCGGATTCACCACCGAGCCCTGGCTGGTGCCTGTGTGCAGGCTGGTGTGGGCCCAGGCACTACTCGGCCCAACTTTGACTGAGATTGGGGGTGCACAACCTGAGCGTCCATCCGGCACTAGCCCTGTGCAGCCTTTTGAGCTGCAAACTTCTCCTTTGACTGCCTGCCCCCCATGGCCTCCGCCCCCCCTCTTCCCTTGTGCTTAGGCCTGCCTTCTGGAGCCCCTGCAGGCCAAGTCCAGATCCTGGATTCCCTGCCTTGGGGATCCCTGAATCCCTGAGCTGCCCTCAGAGCCTCATTTCCCACAGCCATACATTTAGGGATAGAGACAGAACCGGTTTTATGGGGTGGTCTGGACCCTTGAAGACCAAGCAGGCCAAGTCATGAAACGGGTGTGACAGGAAGTTACCCAGCTGCTCTCTGTCATTATCACCGTGTGGCCTCTGTCATAGCAGATCTTATCTACTGGCTTTCATCAGCTACTGGAGAGCAGGGATGCTGGCGGGTTTGGTCCAGCGCCCTTGTGGTGCCCAGCCCTGAGGCCTCTTGAGCCCATAAGACGGTTGATGCGGCCATGGCCTCAGGTCCAGACCACCACGTATGGGCAAACACGTGATAAAGCCAGTCACAGGACAATTCTCATTTCCCAGTGCATGTAAGTCATATTCACACCATGCCATGGTCTGTGGTGTGCAAGGGCTTTGTGTCTCGACACTCTGATACCTTAATTCAAACATACTTTATTGCTGAAAAATGAAAAACAAAGGCAGCACAGGCTGCTGGGAAGATGACTCCAGCAGGCCTGTGGGACGCGGGGTTGCCACGTACCTTGAGTCTGGAAAGGCCGTACCTGCACCAGGTGAGGCCTGCCTGCGTAGAACAGGCTGAGCCTTGTACAGAGACTACCCCCTGCTCAGGACTGCAGGGGGACTAGAGAAGTGGTCAGTGGTGCGGAACCCTTTGGCACCCTGCTTCCTGCAGCAGCCCTTCCCCTTGCCCGCAGGCCCAGGGCCCCACCTCCTCTGGGGACGCCCTCCCAGCAGCTGGGGTCACATGTCACCGCTGGATTTTCCGCCTCCTCTTGGCACTCTATGCTCAGTATTAGAATCGCTCTGTCTTCCCCTGACCCCCTCCGCTGTGACCTCCGCCAGGTCAGGGCCTGTGCCCATCTTAGTCCCTGATGACTCTCTGAACCTGGCCAGAGCGGGGGCCCAGGAAGTGTTCATTGAGGGAACAGATGTAGGTGTTAGAGGAGAGAGCAGTGTCTGGGGTCATCCGAGCGGGCTTGCAGGAGGAGGTGTGATGTCGTAGGGGTTGCAGGATGCGCACACACAGCGGTCCCCAGCCTGTGCCACCTCTTCGTAGCAGCTCATGTTTCTGTTTCCTTCAGATAAGCTCTTCTACATCTACACGTCGGGCACCACGGGACTGCCCAAAGCCGCCATCGTGGTGCACAGCAGGTAAGGGGCTGGTGCCGCGGGAGTGGGAGCGGAGGCCCAGCAGCCTCTCCTCCGCCACTAAGCCCTGAGCCTTCCCCCAGGTATTACCGCATGGCTGCCCTGGTGTACTATGGATTCCGCATGCGGCCTGATGATATCGTGTACGACTGTCTCCCACTCTACCACTCTGCAGGTGATCCTGGGCCCGCCCCCCAGCCCTGCACACTCAGGTCCCTGGGGGGGAGGAGGCCCTACCCCACTTGGCAGGCAGCTTGTTGCAGTAGGAACACATGAGCCCTGGGGTCACGTCTGGGCAGAAGTTCAGACATGGCCATTGCCTCCACTGCTGGGTGAGGGCAGCCACGCCAGCCCCCCTGCCTATGGCTGTGTCTCTTTGTCTGGTCTGTTAAGTTCCTTTCCGCTGAGGTGCCCCGGCCTGCCGCTTGGTCTGAGGGGTAAAGGTAAAACAGATGGAATAAATATAGTTCTTGGACTCCTGGTGCTTAGAGCCAGGCGTGTGTGTGGCAGAGGGATGATGGGCGCCCACCTGACTGATAGAGACGGGGTGTGGGGTGCATGGGGGAGGGGTAGGCTACAGGAGTTTGCGCCAGGAAAGAGTCCCGAGATGGGCTTCCTGGAGGAGGTGCCTCCAAGGCAGGCAGGTGCGGCAGCCCGGTGGGCTAGCCCAGCGTCCCCCGCTGGATGGCAGCATCGCGGAGCAGGAATGGGGCCAATGCCCTCTGGAGCGTACGGCAGTGATGGGGAGCCAGGAAGGTGCTTGACAAGGAAAAGGATATGGCGAGTTAGTGTGGGAAGGGAAGGCCTTTGGGCTGGGGGAGGTCCCCCGTGTTGCTGACCTCCAGGGCCCATCCTCCACCTGCAGGAAACATCGTGGGTATCGGACAGTGCCTCCTGCACGGCATGACCGTGGTGATCCGGAAGAAGTTCTCAGCCTCCCGGTTCTGGGACGATTGTATCAAGTACAACTGCACAGTAAGTAAGAAAGGGGTTGAGCCGTCCCTGTCCCGTGTCCCCCCCACCACCCCCACTCAGGGACGTGTGTCCTCCAGCTGGCGAGTTGTGCATTTGGGCAGCATTCTCATGGTTCGGATGGGGAAACTGAGGCCCAGATGGGGGAGGGACCCTCAGCTGGCCCCTGGGGGAACAGGACTAGGTGGGGTAGGGGCCCGAGGGGTGGCAGGTGGGGCAGTGAGAGCAGCCTTAGGGCCCCACTCACGACAGCCCCACCCCTAGATCGTGCAGTACATCGGGGAACTATGCCGCTACCTCCTGAACCAGCAGCCGCGGGAGGCGGAAAGGCAGCACCACGTGCGCATGGCGCTGGGCAACGGGCTCCGGCAGTCCATCTGGACCGACTTCGCGGGCCGCTTCCAGATCCCCCAGGTGGCCGAGTTCTACGGGGCCACCGAGTGCAACTGCAGCCTGGGCAACTTCGACAGCCAGGTGCTCCGGGCCGGGCGTGCTCGGGCCTTGGGAGGTGCCATGGCAGAGCCGGCGGAGCTCCAGCGTGGGATGGGGGGGAGCTGTTCAGTGTGGGGCTCCTGGCAGGAGAGCCCAGGTCCAAGTCTTGGTCCTTCTAGGTAGGGGCCTGTGGCTTCAACAGCCGCATCCTGTCTTTTGTGTACCCCATCCGACTGGTACGTGTCAACGAGGACACCATGGAGCTGATCCGGGGGCCCGACGGCGTCTGCATCCCCTGCCAACCAGGTCTGCCGCGGGTGGAATTGGGGCTTAGAGGTGGAAGGGTTGGCTCAGGAGGGAGATGGCTGGGGAGCCCTGTTCTGACTAGTGGCCATCAGGTAGCTCTTCCGATAGAGAATCGTTTGTTTCTTCATTTATCCATCCCTGCGTTCCCCCACGCAGCCCCCCATCCACTCGGCCCTCCCTCCATCTGTTTACCCACCGTCCCATCCGGCCATTCCTTCGTGCGTTCATCTGTCCACCCCTTCCTTGTGTTGAGGGTGCTGGCTCTAGGCTGCCGGGGACGACCGCGGCCCAGCCCCTCAGCACTCTCCCTCCCTGCCTGAGTCCCTCCTCTGCAAATGGGCTGGTGGCTGCACTGCCTCATGGGGTTCCCCCAAGGAGCACATGGTAAAGAGGGAAGCTCTGGGGCAGAGCAGGGGCCGGCTGCTGCTTTGGTTTGGCCGCCCCGCCAGGCTTGGCCCTTTTGGTTCATCTTTCCATGGCTCAGACTAGACCCCGGTGCCTGGAGTCAGACCTGCCCTCGGGGCGCCAGGTGCCTGGAGTCAGACCTCTCCTTGGGGTGCGAGGGGGGTGGGGGGGAGAAGCGCTGTAAACAGTCAGGTCAAGGTGCAGGTCAAGGTACAGGCAGCGTTTAGGGCTGAGGGACACAGTGAGGGACACAGGTCTCCCAGGGCACACCCAACAGGCCGCCCTCTGCCCCCAGGCGAGCCGGGCCAGCTGGTGGGCCGGATCATCCAACAGGACCCCCTGCGGCGCTTTGACGGCTACCTCAACCAGGGCGCCAACAGCAAGAAGATCGCCAGAGATGTCTTCAAGAAGGGGGACCAGGCCTACCTCACTGGTGGGTGGGCACCCCCCAGGCCTTGGGAGCCCTTCAGGGTGGTGGGATGGAGGGACTTCCCTACCCGGAGAGAAGACCTCCCGGAACCCCCACCAGCCCACCGCGCCTCTCCTCCCTAGGCGATGTGCTGGTGATGGACGAGCTGGGCTACCTGTACTTCCGGGACCGCACGGGGGACACTTTCCGCTGGAAAGGCGAGAACGTGTCCACCACCGAGGTCGAAGGCACACTCAGCCGCCTGCTGGACATGGCCGATGTGGCAGTGTATGGCGTCGAGGTGCCAGGTACAGGGGAGGGGGAGGTGCCAGGTATCTGGGGGCGGAGGGGGGGTGCCAGGTATCTGGGAGAGGAAGGGGAGGTACCAGGTATCTGGGGGTGGAGGGGGAGGTACCAGGTTTCTGGGGGTAGAGGGGAGGTACCAGGTATCTGGGGGCGGAGGGGGAGGTACCAGGTATCTGGGGGCGGAGGGGGAGGTACCAGGTATCTGGGGGTGGAGGGGGAGGTACCAGGTATCTGGGGGTGGAGGGGGAGGTACCAGGTTTCTGGGGGTGGAGGGGGAGGTACCAGGTTTCTGGGGGTGGAAGGGGAGGTACCAGGCACCTGGGGGAAGAGGACTGGTCCACCTAGGTAGTGCAGGCCCCTCACCTCCATCCTGCTATCCTCAGGAACCGAGGGCCGGGCTGGAATGGCTGCCGTGGCCAACCCCACTGGTCAGTGTGACCTGGAGCACTTCGCAAAGCTTCTGGAGAAGGAGCTGCCTCTCTACGCCCGCCCTATCTTCCTGCGCTTCCTGCCTGAGCTGCATAAAACAGGTCCACCCGCCCCTGTCCATCCAGCTGGCCCTCCTGCTGCTTTCTGAACAGGGCTGTCACTTGACTTCACCCACAGCCTTGCTGGCTAGTTGGTAAACTGGCCTCCCTGTGCAGTGAGCAGCCCAGGCCCTAGAGAGAAGGCCTGTCTGCTCATTAGAGAGACAAAGTGTTCACTGTGTACCTCCTGTGTCCCAGGCACTGTGCTAGGCTTGCCTTCCTGGAACTTCCACAGCAGTAGGTGAGACAGCTATAGGACAAGAAGTTGCAAAGAAGTAGCACGGGACACTCATCAGCTGGAGAAAAAGTGAATGAAGCGTTGGGGATGACAGGGAGGCTCCCTGAGGAGGGGACATTTAAGCTGAGATCTGAACAAGAAGGAAGCCCTGATGGAGGCGGGAGGCATTCTGGGCTATGGAAACAGCCAGTGCAAAGTCCCTGAGGCAGGAAGGGGTCAGGAGCTACAGAGGTAGGAGGAGGCCTCCCGAGCCGCAGCAGGTGAGAGGGGCAGCCTTTGTCTTGAGGGACAGGGAGGCCAGCAGGGGCCTGTCCTGGGCAGTAGGGAGCTACAGAGTGTCTGAGCTCAGGTCCGTGTTCCGCAAAGCAGTCTGGCTGCTGTGTGGAGTGGGAGAGGGTGCAGGCCCCTGACGAAGGGACAGGTAGGGAGATGAGTAAGGGGCTGTAACCATCATCCCAGGGAGAAGTGAGTAGTGGGTCTGCTGTCCTGTGCAGGGCAGTGCCATCCTGTCTGAGGGTGTGCTGGTGTCTCTTGGGGGTTCCTTGGTGAGCAGGAAGCACTGAGGCCCAGACCCATCCTGCCCCTCCTCTCCTTAGTCCTGGCAGCCCCTGTCTGGCCCCTGGGAGCCCTTGACGTGGGGAATCTGGCAGGGACACTGGGACTAGGCTCGTGACTGAGACTGCAAGTCCCCTGAGGATTGTGACTTCCTGCCCAGGAGGGGCAGGGAAGCTGTCAGACCTCAGGTTCCCAGGAAGCTTTGCTGCAGGACAGACGCCCCCAGACTTAGGGCTGAAGACAAACAAGTATTTGATGCACTCACAGGGTGTGGGTCAGCCCTTTAGGTCCAGCTCAGCTGAGTGACTCTTCTGTGGGCCCAACTAGGGTCAAAGTGCCATATCACTCAGTGACTCCCCCGGGGCTGGGGGCCCCGGCAGCCTTGGTGCCCAGCACTTGGTTCCACAGCGCTGCCCAGAAGAACCTTCCGCCGTGGAGATGTGTATCTCACGGACCAACGCAGCAGCTGTGGCCCACCATACCTCTGAGTTTGCAGCTCCGCTGCATTCTCTTTGTCGAAGCTAGTTATAAGACCAGCCCAGCCCTGGGGCTTGAGAAGGGTCCCAGGACCACCCGCAGAGGCAGGCTCACCGGGTGACGGAGGGGCAGCGCAGGGAGCGGGCAGAGGGTCTTACCCGCTCCCCTGAGAAAGGCCCTGCCCCACCCCCACAGGGCCCCTGCTTCACCCTCCCCAGCCCTCCTCACCACGGGGCCGTTCCTGGGTGCTCAGACCCTGTGCTCACCGACGCCTCTCCCGCTGCTCCTTGCACCCACAGGGACCTACAAGCTACAGAAGACAGAACTGCGGAAGGAGGGCTTTGACCCTGCGGTCGTGAGAGACCCGTTGTTCTATCTGGACGCCCGGAAGGGCCGCTACGTCCCCCTGGAATGCGAGGCCTATGCCCGGATCCAGGCTGGCGAAGAGAAGCTGTGATTTGCCCGTCTCTCTGAGGGCCGGCGGATGCTGGATCCAGAGCCCCAGCTCCCACCCCAGACGGCTCCTGGGCGGTGCCAGACCAAAGCAAGCAGGGCCCAGCACCTTGAGGTGCCAACCCCTCCTCCCCAAAACTGCCAAGTGACTCACTGCCGCCTCTCCCTGCGCCCCCCCACCTCCAAGGCTTTCTGTGAAAGCCTCAAACCCAGGTTATGTCTCCAAGGCCCCTGCACCCCAGGCTGAGACTGACTGGGCCATTCAGGATGATGTCTTGGGTCAGGGCAGGGGGAGGTAGAGGGTTGCCAGGCTCTCCCCAGAGAGTGAGGCGCTTATAAATGGGGCCCGGGCGGAAGCCCTCAGACTCAGGAAGCCAGCAGAGTGAGCAGGGGACCCTTGATCAGGTGGCCAAAGAGGAACCTGACCCAGGAGCTGCTCACGCACCGCTCAGCCCTGGCCGCGCCTCCAGAGGGGAGGAGGAGGCCCTGATCTTCAGCAGAGGGCCCCGACAGACACCCCCACCGCATCCTCTCCCTGGGTAGCTGCCTGGCTGTCTGGTCTGTCCATGTCACCTCCGTCAGTCCTGGCCTGGCTATGAGGGAAGGAGGGGTGGGGGCACTCAGGGGTCAATAAACTCTGCCTTGACTCCCTAGCCTGTGTGCTTGCCACGTGGGCTCCCCCAGCCTGCTCGGGTCCCACCTCCTGCCCGTCCACTTACTCATCCCTTCGTTCACTGGACTTGGGGATCGGCCGGCAGGTAAGAGGCCGCAGCCCAGCCTGCAGTGTGGGATCTAGCTGGGGCAGTCCCCTGGGCTCTGCGGGGTGCGGAAAGTCTGCCTACTGTGTCCCTGAAGGGCCGTGGCCTTGGGCCGGTGGCTCGCTCTCCTCCGCAGAGTGGGAGTCAGTGAAGGGGCTTCGAGAGCCAGGGAGCTGTTGGGAGGAAAGGGCTGGTCAGAGCCCTTGAGAGAGAAAACCCTAAGCCCCATCTGCAGCCCCCTGCTCCTGCCGGTCCCTCGGCGTCCGGGGCATGTGACGGCCAGGGCTGTTGTCGGCAGTGCCAGTGGAGAGCCAGCTGTTCTGGGCCCGGAGCTGGTGGCACACGAAAGGGACGCGGCCCAGCCCTGGGCAGTGGACTCTGCTTTGTCTTCACTGCTAAGCCCCACACAGCCTTGCCACAGCGAGTAGTGGGGGCTGGAATGTGAACCCAGCTCCATGCCCTGCCCACGCTGCTCTACCCGCCCGGAGCGGAGGCAGCAGGGAAGTCGGCTTCCATTCCACACATGCTTGTGGAGCCAGCTGTGGCCACGCCCTAGGCCAGCAGCTGACAGTTTGGGTGGAGGTGGCCAGGATTGGAAATCTGGGGAGCCTCTTGGGAGAGCGATTTTGAAAGAGGAGTCCGGAGCCTCTTTGGGGAGGGGGTGGGGGTGGGTGGCAGAGCTGGTGTTGGGCTCTTCAGACCTTGCGGGGAGTGGAGCGCGAGGCATATCTGTAGTGCCTGCGCGCGGCCAGCAGAGGGCGTGTGGAGCTTGGCAAATCCCATCTTGGCCCTGGGAAGTGGGAAGGAGGCGTGTGAGATCCCGCCTCACCCCCAAGGGAAAGCCCAGCCCAGAGGACCCCCCTCCCTGAGCCTTTGACAGCCTTCCTTAACCGACCTAGGAGCTGGAGTTGGCTGGCCACGTGGCTTTGTGTCAAACTCTCCGTTCTGAGTGCCGGCCAATGGGAAGCAGCCCCCCTGGAGCCCCACTCCGTCCTCCAGGTCAATCACTCACCACCAGGCGGTGTGGAATAGTGGCCCGGAGCTCCTGGTCAGGGGCCAAGCAAGCCTGTGCTCAAGTCCACTTGTCGAGCTAAGCCTCAGCGTCCTCTCCTGTCAATAGGTCTTGGAATCCCTAGCCTGGGGCTGTTTTGAATCAGGTGGTACAGACCTCTCAGCTCAGCAGGAGGTGTGGATTCTCTTCAGCGCATGAGACAGATACTCAGGGGCTAAGATCCCAGACTGGCCTGAGTTCACTTCTTGCATTGGCACCCCTCCCCCTCCCCCCCCCCCAGGAAGGGCAAGACTGGGGTCATCCCAGCCAGCTTGCGGCGTCTCCCTGCATGCAGTAGGTGCTCGTGAAGTTAATAGCTGCTGTTTTGTGGGTGTTACTGATGTGTGTCGTGCTTCGGGGCTTGCAAAGCACTGTGGGAGTTTCCCTTATTGAGTCAGGCAGCCCACCTTTGGGGCTGAGAACAGGGATGGGAAGGTAGGGATGTATTTACTGGTCTCGAAGGTCTTTCAAGGACCAGTTCTCCAAAAACAGGAGGGGGGAGGTGTTCTATACCGGAGCAGCCATAATCGAAATCGAGGACTGCAGGTGTCAGGCTCACCTTAGAGCACAGATGGCAGGGGCCAGAGTTGCAGGATGTGAGAAGTGGCCCTGTTAGGGGGAAAAGGATGTCCCAAAGCTAATTCCATATAGGCTTTGTGGACTCCACCCCCACCCCAGGTCAAAGCCAAAGACACTGGGAACTCCAGGAACCCGTTTAATATCGAGGTTGCTCTATAACAGCCCCTCAGCAGACACTGGGCTTGCCCACCTCCAGGCTTTGTGCTCTGCCCTAAAATCCTTGAGCTGGGCCAAACCTGTTTCACTGGAGTTGCTGAGGGTGCCTTACACGAACCCCCCAACCCCCGACATGCCAGGTGCCGAGCAGAGCACTTTCTGGGCATCGTTTCATTCAGTCTGTAACCTAAGCAGCTATTGTGTTTATCCCTATTCCACAGATGAGTAACTGAGGCTCGGAGAGGCAGGTCCCAAAGCCCGCAGAGTCTGAATGGCACTCGGGTAGAAGTCCTCGGCCGGAGCCTCAGGGCTCCCATCTGCCACCTGTGCCTGGGAGGCTGGAAGGGGCCAGCCCCCGGCATCCCCGGAGGTCCCACCGCCCAGGACAGGCAAGAGGCCGCCCAGGCCAGTGCTTGGCGTATCACTTTCAGTTCCTGGGAAGAAGGTTAAATACCTCTGAGGGGCCCATTGAGGCGGTGGCGGCCAAGTGACTTTCAAAGGGGCCTGAATGCCCGGCCAGCCCCTCCCTCCGTGGAGAGGCCCTGCTTCCTCCAGGCCTAATGATATTCTGGGCTCAGCCCTCATCTTTGGCGGCAGTTTAACCCGAGCCAGGGCGGATTTCTTTCTCACTGATCTCAGCTTGACACCCAATTAGCACAAGAATGGGAGGAGGAAGCCTGCGAGAGGCGCCTCCCAGCCTCCCGGGGTGCACGAGGGGAGCAGGCGGGAAGACAAAGGGCAGCAGGCAGGGGGGCGCCCGCGCCCTCGCCTCCCCCCCCATCGACCCCGCCATTGTCCCTCTAGGAGCTTCAGAGGGGACAGAGGCCGACTCTGGGGATGGCCATCCCGACAGAGGGGACAGGGTGGGGCCCAAGCCCCTCTTCTGCGTGGATCCCAGGGGCAGGGGAGGGCATCTGGGTGAGCCTGACCCCAGGGGAGGCAATGGAGGTCAGTGAGCAGGGCGGGGACCCTGAAGACAATACACCTGGAGTGGAGGCCTGACCCGGGGCCCGTGGCAAGTCAGCGGTTCTGAGCCTCAGTTTCCTCGTTTGAAAAACAGGTTTTAATGACAGTTCCCATCAGAGTCCATCAGGTGGCGCATGTAAAGCCCCTGGCAGGTACAAAATGGCGTTCAATAAAAACTTGTTGAGTGACTATGTTAAGCTATTATTGTTACTAATGAAGAGGTCCGCTCTGGCCTGGGGCCAGGAGAACCAAGGGCTTTCTAGGAGTGAGAGCCAGGTGGCCACAGAGTGGACTGATTCAATGAGGGGAGCTGGAGCCCCCCTGTCTGTTGAGAAAAGCAAAGGATTCCCTCTCCTCCAGGAAGGAAGAAATGCCCCTGGTCCCCCCTGTGCCCTGTCCCTGTCCACCTCTGCCTCCCACGATCCCTTTGGATTTGGGCTTAAATGTGACTTCCTCCAGGAAGCCCTTCTGATTCCCGGCCTGGTTTAGGGTCCTCCAACAGTGCCCAAAGGGCCCCGGGCCCCACCTTCATGGCCCGTTTTTGTACCTGTTTCCTCTAAGAACATTAGACCCAGGAGGAAGGCAGAGCCCCTTTGGTTTCGCCGTGTTCCCAGCAGCAGCACCGTGCCTGGCCCTTAATAGGTGTGCAGTGAATGCTCTCAAGTGGACTAAGCTCTTCGAATGCTCTCAAGCTCTCCCCTTCCAGCCGCTGGAGGTGGGCCCCCAGGGTGGAGGCTCGGGTATGCAGCACCTCGAGGTGGAGGGCCCTGAATGTTTTCTAGGAAGGCCTGACCTTGTTGGCAAAGAGAAGCCATTAAATGGCTTTGAGCAGGAGATTATGTACTCACTCACTCAGCAAGCACTTCCCTGACCCCATGCTGATGCACAAAACACCATAAAAGGTGTGTCAGGCAAGGTTCCTACCCTGGAGGAGCCAGTGGAAGACTCTTACAATATTTTCATCCCGAGGACTTTAAGTGGCCATTCAGTTCCAAATCTTCTCGGATTTGGAAACCATCCATACTGGGCAGTGATCTACCCACACTGGGCCGGGAGCATGGGGTCCTTCCATTTACCACAGCGTTCCTTTGCCCACGTTGAGGCCCAGAGCTGTATCTCACTTGTCCTTGTTTTGCCAGTGACTTGGGACAGTGTCTGGTACATTGAAGGGATTCAGCTGTTGTGGAATTAAGTTATAAAATGAAGCCAAGGGCGCGCAGGTGGTTGAGCACCGCACTGTGAAGCTGCCTGCTGAATTTGCAGCACGAGTTCGATCCCCGGCTGGCCAGGGAGCTACCCACATGGCACAGCAGACCTCTCCTGACTCGCCTTCTGCTCCTCGTAGCAGTGTATTTCTTCAGTCTGCCTGTTCTGCCCCCCACTCTGTCTCTGGTGAATCCTCTCACCCTCCCGTGCATCTGGCCTGTACCCAAGTTATTGTATAAAAATAAAATGAAGCCAAGACCAGAGAGAGGGAGGCAGAAGCTTGCAGGCCAGAGAAGTAAGTGCAGGTGAGGTGATTTACCAGGAGAGAGTTCCCAGCCTCTGGGGCTATGCAAGTAGCAGCTGAAGAACACACCTAATGACCGCTACTCAGTGATGGTAGAAGAATTTGGGGTTCCAAAATCTGCATAGAAGGCACTCTAGGGCCTCCTGGTGGCACAAGGGGTTAAGCACAGCACCGTGAAGCTATCTGCAGCCTTTGCAGCACAAATTCGATCCCCGGCTGGCCAGGGAGCTACCCACATGGCACAGCAGACCTCTCCTATCACACCTGCTGCTCCCCTCAGCAGTGTATTTCAGTCTGCCTGTTCTGTTCCCCACACTGTCTCTAGTGAATCCTCTTACCCCCCACACCTCTGGCCTGTACCCCAGTTCTTGCATGCATAAATAAATAAAACTTAAAAAAAAAAAGGCAGACTAATCCAAATATGATGACTAGATGTGGGAGAGAATTGAGAACAGTGCTTCAGGCTTCCTGTTTGGGTGTTTCAGTGGGTGGCAGGGATACCCTGCCAGAATGGGGGACACGGTCAAGCCTGTTTAGGGAGGCACAGTTCCAAGAACTCATCTGATCCTCACTACAATCCCCACTTTACAGACGACTATTACAGGACTTGCACAAAGACTCAACTAAGAAGTGATGGGAGCTGGATCTAAAGCTGGGACAGTCGAACTACCTGTTAACCATTACATCATTCTGCCCTTAAACACCAGGTTACACCACCATACTCTAGCAATGCCAAGTTGAATTGATAAGTGTTGTAGTTTAGATACCTGGGACATTCACTCCATTGCATTTCTGCCCTAGGCTTTTGTTAGCACAGTGCAGCCAGAAAGGGGTATTTTAAAACAGTTTTTTTTTTTAATCAGCAACTTTTATTATCACATATCATAGAAAAAGGAATGTGGGCAAGCTGTGAAATGGAAAATGGAGGTTTGTACATGTGGCTCTATTTCCATGTGGGAGCTGGGTGTCCCCCACTTCAGGTACAGGAGATGCAGCTGTTCACTGCCCCTTTGCACATAACCCTGGCACACTTGACACCGCCCTGTGGACAGCAGGAGCAGCAGCTTGTCTTGCAGGAGGTGCATTTGCAGGAGCCTGCGCAGGTGCACAAACTGCCAGTGCAGCAGGAGCAATTGGGGACCACTTCCAGCTGAATTGAGCATGGAGGTCCAAGCAGTGATGGCCATGACGCCCAGGGCTGGAGGAAGGCTTAAAACAACAGTTCTAATAAGGGCCTCCCCTCGTGGCACAGCGGTTGAGCGCTGGGCTGCGAAGCTGCCCGCAGCCTCTGCAGCGCTGGTTCGATCCCCGGCCGCCGGCAAGGGTCCCACATGGCGCACAGACCTCTCCTGCCGCCCGCTGCTCCCCTCAGCAGGTGTATTTCGTCAGTCTGCCTGCTCTGCTCCCCGCTCTGTCTCTGGTGAATTCTCTCACCCTCCCGAGCTTCTGACTGTACCTAGTGTTTGTATAAATAAACAAATCAATCTGAAAACAACCAAAGAAATGTCTGGGCTGGATATAAAGATTTGGGGATCAATGGTAACCAAAATCAAGACGCGTGGACAGCCTTGCCTAAGCCCAGTGCCGACTGAAGACATTGTAACTAAGTCAAGATAAACAGTAACGTGGCTCTCAGTCACTGTGCAGGACGCCGAGACGCCTCCCCTCTTCCCCCAGGCTTGGTGGGGTTCGCGCAAGTCGCGCCCACCCAGGCTCTCCGAAAAGGCAGCGAGTTGACCGGCACAAATAGCGCGTCCCGGCCTCCCTCCAATAGCAGAGAAGAATGACTGCCTGGTACCGCCTCTTCCGGCCGCGACGACAGGAAGTGCTGCTGGCGCGCCGGAAGTTGAAATTTCCCGTGAGCTCGGCTTCCTCAACATGGCAGCGCCCTTGTCAGTGGAAGTGGAGTTCGGGTGAGTCACAGAGCTGGGGCGCCGTGGGGATGGAGTGAACCCATCGTGTCCAGAACTCACCTTCCTCTGCCTTGGCGCTTGTTGCGACCGAAGCGCCATGGCTCCCGGCGTCTTCCCTGAGCTACGCTGTACGCCCCGGTCTCAGACTCGGTCTCCCTAGGCGACGAGGCCGTAAGTCCGGAAATAGCTGCGCACGCTGGGGCGGGGAGGTGCGCTCTAAGCACCCCCTCTGCAGGTCTTGGACCCCGCTGAACTCAACAGACGATCTCCCTACCTTTGCCAATCCCGTTTTGGATGAGGCTGTATGTCTGACATTTGCGCTCCTACACCCCAGAAGGGCCACCCTTCACACCTTTCATCCCCTGATATTTCCCTTTGGGCTGCGATTACACTTGGTGCTTTGGGCTGCGATTCTTCGTGCCTGTTTCTCGTGGGATGTGTGACCAAGACGGGACTCCCTTCTCTTTACTAAGATTTGTGGGTGTCAAATAGACCTGAGGTCCTTCTGCAGCATTCAGGAAACTTGCTGACTACCTTCCGCAGATCTTGAGTCAGTTGGCAATACGGGGTAAGCAGCAACACAGTATAGGAGTCCAACCCTGAAGTACGGGAATGCAAGAATTGGGGCGCACACACACCAATAACTGAAGAAACAGAGATCAGGGAGTCTCCTCCAAACACTATCTTCTGCCTCTCACTGACAGGTTTGTCATGATTTTAGAACTGAGAGAAATTGTAGATCTTAAAGAGAAGACAAGGAAACAGACCCCGAAGGAGTCACATGGCAATACTGGGGTGGGGGTGAGGGAGAGGGAGAACCAAGGCTTATATGAAAGGAAAAGTCTGGGATGGGAATCTAAAACATCTGCCCATGAATGCCTTTCCTTCCATTGGATTCCCCCAGTTTCTTTCATGTTTTCCTGTCACTGGATCGTTCATTCACCAGTCATTTACTGAGTGCCTACCATGTGCCAGGCAGTGAGCCAGGCACTGAGGATACAAAGATAAATGGAACTCTGTCCATGCCCTCCAGTGTTCAGCATTTCTGTCCCTTAGAAAAAAGGAGTAGTCATTTGAATGGTAAGTGCATTTTAATCAGTGATATCGTTATCTGGATCCCATTAGAACTATCCTGGTCTGGCCACTTGACCATTTTCCTTCACTGACCCTTGACCCAGTTATACCCCTCATAACCTGGGGCTTCTAGATGGATCCTGGCTGCCTTGACTTACTTCAGCAAAGCTGAAAAGGAAGAAGCTGCAGATTGCCCATGTTAAGGTTTATCTGTCATCCACCTATCTGCCATTCTCGCTATGCCAAGTGAGGTTTTGGTCAGAAATGTCTTCTGTCTGAGGTACTGTGTGGCAGCGGTGGGAAGACATGCGAGGAAGATATAGTTCTTGCCTTCCAGAGCTTACACACTAGCTTAATTACCCCTTCTCTGACCTGACCATCTCCAGCCTCAGCCTCTTTACCGCCAAGAGCAATTGTGGGTCACAGCAACATTCCCCCAATCATCTGCCCTCCTAACATCCGCCAACACAGTGTCTTGTGAGAATTGTGGCTTCCCAGGAAGCAAGAATGCCCAAGATGCATGCCAACCCAAACTCCTTTGGTCTTGTCTCAGTGCATGTTTTGTCTTTCATTTCCTGCATCTCTTAGCAGACTTCCTCACTCCGAACCTGAGCAGACTTACAAAGAAATGACCTTGAAGTCTGGGTTTAGACTTGGCCTCTTTCCTCAGCACATGTGGTCCTCTAGCTTTACCAGCTCTGACAGATTCTCACCAGCTTCCAGACTTCTCAACCTTTCTTGCTCTTGTCAGTGGCCAATCCAGCCATTCTCTGTCTTGCCTCCTGAACTGTCCTTACAGCATTTTCTCAGGTTATGCAGGATTCAGAGTCTGTAGTACAGACATGTTTTGTGTCCCTGCAGTCCAGATTCCCTCTTCCGATTCCCAGTTCCTCCTTTGTGAAGCCGGGAGGTATTAACAAAGAGGGGGTGCCACTGAGGTCAGAGAAGTAGGAGAAGTGGGCATTTTCATTCATTTGGTAAATATTTCGAGTATTTTCTATGTGTCCTGCCCTGTTTTAGACAGGGCTTACATTCTTGTGGATGGGGAAAAGGGTGGTAAATAAAATAGAAATAAAAATATAGAGGATAAGCAACTGAAGATCAGTTACAAAAAAATGAAGACACTTTTGGGGATGTCTATACCAGTCACTGGTACCAACAAGTACTTCCACCAGAAGTGTAGAGTGGAGGAAAGATTAAGTGTCTTTTTTTTTTTTTTTAAGATTTATTTATTTTTTTTAAGATTTATTTATTTATCCATACAAGAACTGGGGTACAGGCCAGAGGTATGGGGGGTGAGAAGATTCACCAGAGGCAGAGTGGGGAACAGAACAGATAGATTGAGTGAAATACACTGCTGAGGGGAGCAGCAGGTGTGTCAGGAGAGGTCTCATGGCCACATGGGTCAGCTCCCTGGCCTGGGATTGAACTCATGCTGCAGTGGCTGCCAGTAGCTTCATAGGTTGTGTCTTAACCCCTTGCACCACCAGGGAGGCCCAAAATGAAGTGTCTTTAGATGTAATTCCTTAACTGAGTTTGAAGAGCAAGAGATTCTGGCTTTGGTTCTCCCCTGGGGCCAAACCATCCACTTGTCTGCCTCCCTGAATCACTCCAGAGGCTGGGCCTGCATCTTCCTCCCTCCAGATGTGCCCACAGCAGGACTGCCAATTTCTCCCTTGGGGGCTATGCACTGAGGTCACTCTGGGCCATGCTGGTTCTCCCTGTATCTCCTTATAAAGGGAAAGACAGCCTGGGCCTCTGAGCCTGGCACCACCAGGTCTGGCCACTCTTGCTTGTTTGCCTGGGTCTCAGTGGCTCCAGTTCCCACTCTTTTCTCTGACCCCCAACTCCTGAGCCCCCTGCCTCCACCCTCCCCCACCCCAGCTGCCTCATGTGCCAACCCCCACCCAGGAGAGAACAGGCCTCTTGGAAGGGGATAAATGGAGGCTCTGTGCGGGTTCGCAGCTGAAATGGCCCTGCGCGCGGCCACAGATGGGCCTCTTCTCCCCCTCCACATTTCTGCGTCAACAAAGCGTGACCTTGTTTGGATGACAGTCGCCCCATGTTTCCTCCATGACAATGCCTGCCTTGCCTTTGCCTCCCAGTGGACTGGCTGAGGACATCTCTGTTCTTTGAATTTGGGAAAGGGTGGTGGGGTGGGAGACATTGAGGCCATCAAAAGTTTGTTGCTGCATTCTCAGTTAAGATGCATGTGAAGCCTGAGATGGAGTCAGGAGGCCCAGAGTGAGAAGGGGTGCAGGCCAAGAGCCCTGATGTCTGCCTCATAAACCCTGGCTTCTGGACTTGGCTCCCAGCATCTCTGCTGGCCTCACATTGCCTTGGCCAGGTACTGGCCCACAGAAGTGAACCAAACTCTGCCCTCAAGGGGCTTTCAGGCCTCTGGAAAATCTGGGTTTGTTTGTATTTTGTGTATGTGTGTGCAAAGTCTGCTGGCATTGAACAGAAACAAGTTAGAATTCAAATCTTAGTCTAGCCATTGCCTGTCTGACCTTGAACTAGTCACTTAACTTGCTGGGCCGCAGTCAGCTTCTCCCTGGGAGGTTGTTAGTACTGCTTCTTCCCTCTCTATCCTGGAATGCCCTGAGGCTGAAGGGAGATGAATGGCAAGGTTATTGCTAAGCCCAGAAAAATCTCCCTCTAGCTTCTGTGCCCACCAGGCCAGCAGTGGGTGGCACAGATGTGTTTTCAAATTCTCACCTGGCCAGAGGAAGCTTCTGGACACACAGGGTCTCCAGCGTGCCTCATGGTGGCTCCTCAATCTTTTTGCAAATGGAGAGACTGAGGCTTGAGAAGATGTCAGGTGCCCAAGGTCCGGGGCCAGGCAGAGGGAACTGGGTCCACATCTCGGGGCAACAGCTCCAAAGCCCAGGCTCTGCACACGGGCCTAGGCTGCCTCTTGAGAAAGCAGAGGAGTGAGATGAGAGTCTACAGATTTTGGCACCGGATTATTAGCAAAGCTTATTCTTGCTTGCCCAGTCAGAATGTCACATTTGAGAGTGAGACACCGGTACCCCAGAGGATCCTGAACCTTGGCCTCTGTATCTCTCAGGCCCCAGTCCAGCCCTGTCCTCGGTTTACATCAGTTACCTTCTGTCCGCAGGTGCTCACCTGGCTGTCTTTCTCTTCCTTCCTCTACAGAGGCGGCGCGGAGCTCCTGTTTGACGGTGTAAAAAAGCATCAGGTCACCTTGCCCCAACAGGAGGAGCCCTGTGAGTATGAGCTTTCTGCAGTCAAACGCTCTACCCCTGAGCTATACCCCCAAGTATGAGCTTTCTGAACCCCCTTCCCCACCCCGGGCCATTGCACCAGTCTCCGAGAATCACTCAAACTCACACCAGGTTCTGGGTTCAAAACTTTTTTTTTTTAGATTTATTTATTTATGCATACAAAACTGGGGTATAGGCCAGAGGTGCAGGAGGGTGAGAGGATTCATCAGAGACAGAGCAGGGAGCAGAACAGGCAGATGGACCGAAAACACTGTTGAGGGGAGCAGCAGGTGAGACAGGAGAGGTCTGCTGGGCCATTTGGGTATCTCCCTGGCCTGCCAGGGATTGAACCTGCAGAGGCTGCGGACAGCTTCACAGTGCTGCGCTCAACCCCCTGCACCACCAGGGAGGTCCCATGGATTCAGACTTTAAATCCCCTTAGAACCTTAGGCCCATGACCTTCCCTTCTCTGTGAAGTGGGGCTGGTAGACTGTCGCTGAGAGTGGCTAAGAGGAGTAAGCAAGCTGTACCAGGCTGCTCTGCTATGGCTAGATGGCAGCAGAGACAAGTTCTCTGAATAGAATAGAATAGAGCCAGGCGAATGGGCTCACCACCTGCTCCGGGACTTAGGAGAGGAGATGCACGGCTGCCAAAAGGAGGTGGAAGAGGAAGGTTGACTAAGGGAGACAGGAGGGGTTTCCCCATTTGTTCATTCCAACACTTGTTCATCTTTCTTTAGCAAAGGGATACTGCAGATCTTCTGGGGGGCAGACCGTGTACCAGTCTGGGGCAACAGCATGAACAAGAGCCAGTCTCTCTTCCAAATGGGGGGTTTTGAAAAGTTTCCCTGCCACTGGTGAATAGCAGTGTGGCCTGGGGGCAAGGCAGCGACCCCACTGTGGGGGTCTGTGTGGCCCCAGCAGGCCTCTCAGAAACACTCAGGAAGGGAGCTGTCTCGACCTAGGGCTGAGGGGTTCCTGGGGAGAAAGGAAACTGGCTTTAGGGAGTGGAGCAGTGAGGCTCCTGGAGGCAGGGTGCAGTAGCAACTAGTCAAGTGAGGTTTAACAGGATTCTTCTGGAAGGCAACATGCTTCTTCCAAGAATCAAACAATTGTCCGACTTCACCGGCTGCCAAGCTGTCTGTGGGCCCGCCTTGGGCAGGAGAGCAGGGATGCAGGGCTGTCAGTGTGCCACACTCGAGGCTGGGAGATGCTCCCCAGGGAGCTGAGCACTGCCCCCTTGTGCCAGGCTGGGCATGTGGCTGGGGTTGACTGTCAGGCCTAGGGATTGCCTGTGCCCCTAGTGGGGTTGAGAAAGGTGGCTGTTTGACATCCAGCCTGCAGCCTGGAGAGGGAACAGGGCTGTCAGAATACTCAAAAGATTCAGCCTTGGAAGATCTGGCAAGAAGCTTATTAAACCATCACAAGTTCTCATTCATTTCTACAAATTTCATCATTCTAGCCCCTTCCTTCATTGTTGGCTAAATGCTCACTGGTGCCAGGGATGGTAGCCAGTGCTTTATTGTTCATGTAGTTGGCACATGCTGCGTTCCTGAGGGCCTCCTTTGTGCCAGGCCCCGTACTAATAGCGGGGTATTCAGTGTGACCCAAGCAGACCAGGGACTTGCCCCGAGGGCCTTGCTTAGTGATGGAAGTGAAGTCATAAGCGAGGAAGTCAGGTCCAAGCCTGTAACTTGCAGTTGCGCAAGCGCGGCCACCTGTGAGACATCAAAAGGGGCCTCGGATGGTACAGCAGGTGGTATGGGGAGGTGCCTGCTGGAGGTGACTTGGGGACTAAGACCTACGGGAGGACAAGAAGCCAGTGGATAAATTGGAGGGAGAACAAGGGTGCAGGGGACCAACAATGTCGTCCCCTCATGAAGGCCCCCTGGACAGAAGGCCTTCAGGTGGCCACATGCCGAAAAAAGGCCAGTCTCTCCAGGGACACAGGCTGAGCTTGGCATGGTAGATGCAAATAACTGTCACAAGCTCCTTGGAGGTAGCTGCTGTTATTATTCCCATTTCAGAGACATCGAGGGTGTTGCCCCTATTCATGCAGCTATTTAAATGGCAGCCTCGGGGCCTCCTCGGTGGCGCAGCGGTTGAGCGCTGGGCTGTGAAGCTGCCCGCGGCCTCTGCAGCACCGGTTCGATCCCCGGCTGCTCCCCGGCCACCGGAGGAGGGTCCCGCATGGCGCGCAGACCTCTCCTGCCGCCCGCTGCTCCCCTCAGCAGTGTACTTCGGTCCTTCTGCCTGCTCTGCTCCCCGCTCTGTCTCTGGTGAATTCCCTCACCCTCCCGCGCTTCTGACTGTACCCAGTGCTTGTATAAATAAATAAATAAATAAATCTTTAAAAAAAGAAAAAAGAAAAAAAAATAAATGGCAGCCTGGCATTCAGAACCGCATTTCAGGGGCTCAAAGTCCTTGCTAGCGCCATTTATCCCATGAGGCTCCCCAAATCTCCCAGTATCTCAGACCTGTAGTGTATTTTCTGGCGTTTTTGCTTTCATGCATTCATTCACACCTTCAACAGCTATTATTTTAATTTTCAAGATGACCCCAGTTGATACTATGTATTATCAAGGATCTCAGCCTCAGCAAGTGTGATCTGTCCAGTTATTCAGGTCATGGGGGGGCTAAGACCCAGTGTTTTGATCCTCATTCTCATTAGGGGTTAGGTGGGGACCTCTTCTTCTACCCTGGCATGAAGAGATAAGAGCAGAGGAGGGCCACTGAAATGGCCCCTTGCTCCTTCTTGGGGCCCTTGACTGGGGCTCTCTATCTGGGACTCCCTGCCCGGCTGTACTCAGAGGCACGGGTCACTTCTTAGCCAGAGAACAGTTAGCAGCTGCCAGGCCTTACTGTGGCACATGGGAGCCCAATGGGAAGGCAGGAGCCCGGCGTGTCTTCCTCTCCCCCTCCTCCTGGGCCTGGGCCCAGATCTGTCATCTGGCAGCCTTCCCAGCCCAGGGGCTGCCACTTGGCTGAGCAGGTCTTGGAGACTTCAGCAGGGAAAATAGCAGCCTTAAGATTATGGGTTGTGACAAGTCTCACAAACAAAGGGGCTTCTGGTCCTAGGCCAGGGAAGAGCTTCCAGCCCGGCCGAAGCAGTGTGCCCTCGTGGGTCACTTCCTCCTGCTGGCCTTGTTTCCCCATCTGCGAAATGGGCAGTCAGGCTGGATTGAGTCATTACTGAGCTGGCTACCTGTTTGACATCCACAGTTTGAAAAAGTTGCTTCCAGATCTAAGTGTGTACAATTCTATGAAGTAGGGAGTGTTGATCCAATGAGAAGTTGGGGGTGGGGGGATCTGGGAAGGGTTGGGAAATGTCTTAACAGTCAGTGCCAGGAGCAGGCAGGCTCTTTGACTGGCAGGAGTGGGAGGTACCCACCTGTCTGGGGCGTAGAGGCCATTGGCAACAGGCCTTTATGCTTCAAGGACCCCTTTCGCTCCAGGCTCCCAGCCCATGGCTGATCAGTGGCCTGAAGCAAACCCAAAATGTCTGGGAACAGGCTGTCTGGGCGTGGACATTACCTGCCCCTGCCCCCAGGAGGAGGTGGGTCTACTTCACCTCTGCCTGCCCCTCACACCTCCCTGCGGGCAGCAGGCAGCGGGCAGCCTTAAAGGGAGGCTGGGGAGGGAAGACAGGCCTTCCAGCGAGCTCCTGGGCTCTTTAAACTGCTTAGCATGCATTTCACAGCCGCCCTGGGGCCAGCTGTTCCTTTCTCTGCTCTGGGGCCTGTTTGCTGATCCCCTCCGGCACCTCCCTTCTTTCCTCCCGCCCCTCCCAGTCCCTGTGCAAAATTGCTTTTGAAAAGATCCACTTTCTGCTTAATTAAACAATGAGGAGCGTCCCCTCACACATCTGTAAACCTCCTTCTGAGGCCAGTTTAGCCCACAAACTGCTCCTTTCTTACCCCCATTCACTTGTAAATAGCCCCTCTGATGTTCCTCTACCCCCCTCTCTATGCTTTTACTCCCCCCAGCCCAGCTCTTTCTTCTCCCTTTTCAAGGACAGCCTGGGGTGGGCTCCCAGAAGAGCCCTGGAGCCCGGTGGACTGGGTGAGGACCTGAGCGCTGGAGGCCGGGAAGAGAAGAGGCCAAGTCTGCAGGACTGGGCCTCTGGCTCATACAGGCTCCCTGAGGGAGAGCCACCTATGGGGGACAGATTGCTGGGCGTGTGCAAGGGGCTGAGGGTCTGTGGCCCTCTCAGAGCTCTTTTCTCTCCTGACCTGAGGGCCTAGGACCGGCACCTTTGGGGGCTCTGCCAACAGACAAGGACTCGACCACTGGGGCACTAGACTCCAGTGGGAGCCGTCCGCGAGAGGCAATGGGGTGTCCTCTGCCAGCAGCCGGGGGAAGGATCCTGAGTCACGGTGGGCAAATGTCCCATCATCCTGTGTGTTGGCCTCTGCCATGCCCCAGGCTGGTTTCTGCTTGGACCCTCCCAGCAGCTCTTTGGAGCTTGGGTTTTTGTCTCCATTTGCCAAGGGTGACCCGAGGGAGATGGCATCGGCGCCACCAGTGAAATAAGTAGTGCCCGTCTCTCTCCCACTGTCCCCCTCGCCCCTGGCGTGTAGTAGTTACTCAATAAATATTTGTCTTGTGACTAATGGCCTGGGATCCCAGCCAGGAAATCCCCCTCCAAGGATTGGGGAGGTGAGCAGGAGGGGGGAGGTTAGTGTGAGGTACCCTGCCCCATCTATTCCAGAGCCTCCCCAAACCACTAACCCCAACGCTGCTTAACCCTTCCTCCTCCCCTGGGCGCCTTTGGAAGCCCACCATCTGGCTTGGAGGCCATTTGCATATTGTCTGGGTCTCAGCAAGCCTAGCAAGATGTCCCAGGGGGTGTGTTTCAGGCCAGGCCGAGTGGCCCTTGCAGCCTGCGAAGGGAGCCGAGAGTTCCACCTCTCCCCACCCCCAAATCCAGGCATGGGGGAACAATACGGGTGGTGATGAGGGGGCCTCACCATGGTAACAGGCTATCAAGAATGTAGGCAGGCCTGGGGGTGTAGAGGAGGGAGGGAATGACCTCAGCAAAGAGGAGCATCATGATAAATGAGCCGGCACCGGCAGCCGACTCACCCCCCAGCCCATCCCTCTGGGACTGCATGATGGTGCCATCACTGGGATGACCCTGACATGACCACTAGCCTCTCCTAGCCCCCGCTATCCAGAGGGGAGCAGAAATCTCCTTCGGGGGAGCCAGGTTTGTTAACCCCACGGGGTCCTGGTTCTGCACGGACTGGCCACTGGTGGTCCGCAGGCCAGGCACAGCCCTGTCCTCACAGTGCCTCGGCGCACACAGGCCCGACCCCGCCCGCCAGCACTGGCTGATGAATATGTCAGACCCCGGCGGCTCTATCGAGCGGCCACAAGATGTATGGGCTGGCGGCCCACCAGACAGTGCCAAGATGGAGGCCAAGGGGAAGCCTCTGAAACCCGGGCCTGGGGGTGGGGGGAGAATGCAGCCAGAAGTCCAAATGGAGGCCCTTTCGTCAGAGGCAGCATTCCATCCTCTGCCCGCTCCGGGGCCTTGAGGACGCCAATCTGCTTTTTTGTTAAAAAGTAGGCATTGAAATTGGAAGGCAAAGTCTCAGTCCCTGGACACTTTGCCCCTGGCCCTGTGCTCTGCTGGTGAGCCATCCAGGAGATTTGGCACAGAGCAGAGCAAACCAGCCCATCCAGGGACAGGCCTGCCAGAGTTCAGCTGCCGGCTTGCCCCAGCAGCGCGTAGCACTCTGCCCAAGGCTGGGTGCAGGGCTTCAGGCAGCGGGGCCTACACAGCAGTCAAGCTGACCCCTCCCCGTCCCTTGCTGAAGTGCCTGGTTACTGACTCAGGCAAAGCACCCACGGTGCTGCCGGGGCCCTTCTCCAGCTCAGCTAGCTCTGGGGCCAGGGCAGCAGGCCCCTCTGAGCCATACGCATGGGGTAGGGGTGGCTAGCCCCAAGGCTCTGCTGGCTTCCCAGAGACTAGTTTTGGCCGCAGACCTTATGTCCACAAATCTCAGGGAGAGAAGCAACTCCTGCACCTCAGGCTGATTGAGGAGCACAAAACTGACAGCCAGAGGCTTCAGGGAGTTTCCAGAGGCAGGTTCCAGTGTGCTATGGCCCCGGGAACGCATGGCTTCTGGGGACAGGTGGTTCTGAGCCACCACAGGGTGGGCAGAGAGTGTGGCTGGCCCAGAACCACAAAGAGGCAGAGCTCAGATGACCAGATGAGCAGGAGTGGCCCTTTGACTGCGAACCTCTTGTCTCTTCAGGGTGGTCAGCCCCCCGGTCTGAGGGGATGGGGTGCTCTGTGAAGGGGGAACAGTGGGCAGTGATTTGTCAGCGTCTCTGGCTAGTGAAGGATCCTTCTCTCCCTCTGCCAGAGGAAATTAACTGATGTTATCGGCTAGGCAATTGTTTTTCTTCCCTCACAAAGGGAAATATATGCAGACCCCTCCAAGAGCAGAGCCTACTTCCCATCTGGGACTGGCTGGAGAGATAAAGGTAGAGGGGCTCCTTCAGGCCCCATCGGGAGCCTGTCTGTAGCAGAGTCACCCCATCTTCTGGCACAGTGGGTGGGGGTCACTGTCCCCCCTTTCCCATGGACAGTTCTTCCTGCTGTCTGCCTTGGGTCCCTCCTGCCTCCCCTGCCAGCCATCAGCATTGCCAGGTGCCACTGTCTCTGAAGGCCCCTGGCATGTCACTCGCCTCCCCCCACACGGTTGCCCACCATGGGGCATTCAAGGGTCATGGCCTAAAACTGGCCCTCTCAGCCCCCCGGTCACATCCTTCCGGTGCAGGTGAGGCTCCGGGAGCTTGGAGCCCCATAGGTTTGACAAGAGTGTGTTCTGTCTTCCTCTGCAGGGGACATCCGGAACCTCCTTGTCTGGATCAAGAAGAATTTGCTGAAGGAGCGGCCAGAGTTGTTCATCCAGGGAGACAGCGTGTAAGTGCCTCTTCCCTTCCCCAGGAGGGTGGATGCGGGGAGGAGATTGCAGCCTCTCTCGGGGTGCAGCGCAGCCTTCCCTGGCCTGGTCTCCCCTCTAGCATCGTCTCACCCCGCCAGGGAAAAGGCGCTTGAGTCCAGCTTTGTAGAAGGTTTGTTTGAGTTTTCTTGCTACCACGCTGGACTGTTGGTGGAGCTGTCAAAGTCTGGGTAACGGGACTTGGATTCTACCTCTGGTTGCCACAGACACACCGCAGCCCCTTAGGCAAGTTGCTTCCCTTTGTGACCTCAGCTCCCCAGTCCAAGCAGAAAGGAAAACAGAAAGATGCTTCCCAAGGTCCCTTTCATCCCTTGGCAATCTGGGACTTAGTCTTGCTCTCCCATAGAACATTCTGGTAACGGAAATGTTCTATAGCTGTGCTGGCCATGTGGTCGCTGCTAGGCCTTTAAGGCTGTTGAGCCCTTAAAATGTGGCTGGTGTGACTAAGAAACTAAAGATCAGTTTTATTTCATTGTAACCGAAATGAGACTAGTAGATGCTGAACAGGGCAGGTCTGGGATTCCAGGGACTCACTGTGATGTACACACACACCCCTGACCAGCCCAGGCCCAGCTCAGCCTCCTAGGAAAGGAGCCAAGTTTCACGTGCCAGGAAGTCACTTCTAAAACAAGGCCAGCCGCGTGGATCAGAGGCCGGCAGAGCACTTGTGGGACTAGGGCTGCTGTCCAACCCTGGCCGCCCCGGAGAGGCCGCCCCCAAACACAGCGGTGCTCCTAGGGCTGCTGGTGGAGCCAGGTGTCCAGGTGTCAGCCTGCCCAGCCCTAGGCCACAGGCTGCTCAGGAGGCCTAGTGAGGTTACACCTCACTGCTCGTGGTGAACCCCACAGACACCTTAGCAAGCAGGCACCCCCCACACACTGCCCCCTTCATCCTCCCCACCCCTTGTGAGGATGGCACCCTCTTTGTCGATGAGGAAACTGATGCTCAGAGAAACAAAACGGGAGGTGGTGCCAGAATCTGCACCCGTTTGCCTCTGCCCCGAGCACCATGACTGTCTTCAGACTCTGACTGTCGTTTCCACTTCCTGGGGGAGCTTACCCCCCGGATCCGCCTCAGAGAAGAGGCTCCCACCGCATGCCCGCCGCCACCCAAATGGCTAGGCCTCTCTGCCCCCATGTCCTCCCGGCCTCCGCTCCCTGCTGCTCACCACCGTCTTCCCCACAGGCGGCCAGGGATTCTGGTGCTGATTAACGATGCCGACTGGGAACTGCTGGTCAGTACCTGGGGCCCTCCCTGCCCCCCGCTTGCCCTCGGTCCACTCCTCAGGCCCAGACAGGCCGGTGGCTAGTCCTCTCTCCTGCTCTGGCTCCAGACCGAGGCTGCTCGAGCCTCTTGCCAGAGCCAGGAAGGAAGGGAGAGCTGGGGAGCTCTCCGTCATCCTAGAGATGGGCCAGCTAGTGGGCAGGGTACCCATTTTTCCAGTAGATTCTCTCTTTCCCTGAGCAGCTGACCCCCACCCCCCACCCCCAGCACCTGGGTGAAGCTGGAGAGGTGCCCCTGACGGTCTTCTTTCTCTCCCGGGCCAGGGCGAGCTGGACTACCAGCTGCAGGACCAGGACTGCGTCCTCTTCATCTCCACGCTGCACGGCGGCTAGCCCCAACGCCCGGCCCTTTGGGGTGGGGGGAAGGAAGCAGGCGGACAGCCCCTGGGCCCTCCCTGGCTCTGCCTGTCCCCCGCTGCTGGCTTCCCTGATCCGGCCCTGAGCTCCCTCCAGGCAGGGAAAAGAGGCCAGCTGCTAAAAATGAGCCTTTCTCCCGTTAGCAGGGGCGGGAGGCGGCTGGTGTCACTGCTCTACCCGCAGCTGAAGTGGGGGAGGGCACCCCTTGGTTTGTCGGGAGAGGGTTGCTCTGTGGCCAGGTGACCCAGCTGCCTTCTACCCCATGTGTCTCAACCTAAACACCGAGTGACCGCCGACAAGGCGCTCCAGCTCTGGGCCACAGTGTCTTCGAGGGGAAGATGAATGGACCCGAATAACTGATGGGAGGCCCCTCCCTTCTCAAAGATTGAAGGAGTCTCCGCCTCAGTTTCCCCATCTGGAGAGCAGGGTCTCTGCGTGTCCCCCACTGATATCATTATGGAACCCCAGCTGGGGTCCCCTATTCAAGGCTGACCCCCCTCGCCCCCATCCAGCAGCTGTTCTTCCAACCACATCCCTCCTCCTGCTCCCCCCATCCCCAGCCCTTGACCCTGGCCGGCCTCCCCACACACACACAGGCCACCAGATGGGCTCCTGAGACCCTCCCCCAGCAAAGGCTGCCTCAGCTCCTGTGGAGGTGGAGCGAGGGAGGGCGCATGCTCCACCTTGGACTGGCAAATAGAGGCCTGGGGCCAGTGTGCCTCAGTTTCCTCCTCCACAACTGAACATGACTGCACCTCAAAACCTGGGAATACCTGAGGGCACAAATGTAAACACCGCCATCCTGCCGCCACCTGCAGGAAGCAGGGCGAGGCAGGCGGCGCCTGGCAGGCTAGATCTTTCTCCTCCTTCCTTCATCCCTTCTGGAAGTCTTGGGGCCTCAGTGCCTGCAACAGCTGGCCTTGGGCAAATAAAAGACTAGGTTGTTTATTATCCTTGCCTGGAGCTTCATCCTTAGAAACTAGTGGCACCCCATATCCCCCCATGCCATGGTCTCTGGCCCAGTCTCTCTGTCCTCACCCTCAACCCAAAAAGGGGAGAGAGGCTGAAATCCAGACTGTCCAGGAGTGGGTGATCTGATGGGACCGTCTGGAGAAGGGGATGGCAGAGCCATTCTGCGCTGACCAGCCTGGGTCCCAGCACATTTCTCTGCCCGCTTGTCTGAGACCAAGCTTTGTCCCACAGCTGCAACTCGCCCCAGAACCCAGAAGGGGGGGGGCACATGTAAGACTGCTGAGTCCCCCCCCTTAACGACCCCTGACCTGGACAAGAAGCTTTGTTTGGTGGAGGGAGACCTCATTCAAAAAAAAATAGGGAATGAACTTCATCCCATATAAAATGTTGCTTTTCACCAAGCGTCAGCAACTCAGGGTGGAATTTCTCTCACTCTCTGGCGGTGAAAGTGCCACATGCTTGTCCCAGCAGCGTTGGGCAGCTGTGCCTTCGGCCTCTAGGCTGGGGGCACTGACCCCTTGGCTGGTGAGCTCCTTTGGCGGGTGGGAGCCCCTGGATATATGTGTGGGTGGGGGTGGCCATGTTGAGGTTTCAGGTGGGAGCTGGCCAGTGGGTTGGTGTCCAGCTGCTATCAAGACACTGTCTGACCGGCCCGCACTAGCTGCTGGCGCCCTGGACTCTGTTGGGAACAGAGCAGGGGGCTTGAGATCGCGCCCTGGAGCCTGATTTTTAGAGGATTGGCCAGTCCCCTGATTCTTGTAACTAGAGGTCGCGCCCTGGACCCTCCCAACCCCACTGAACTTCAGGAATGGCCTGTCCAGTCCGGGTGTTCAGGTCCTGAAAACTCGGCTGTGGGATCCCTTTTCCACCTGCACCGGGGCAGGGCAGGTAGATTTGGGGTATAGGGTGTCCCTTTCTCCAGCGCAACCCAGTTATGGGGAGGAGGAGTAGGGCAGAAAGATGGGCTGGGAAAACCAGAGTCTTGGAGGCAGTGAGGGACAGCGGTGCCTGGGCTGAAACTGGCCCCGCCACGCTCCACAGCATTTTGGGTCATTTTCAGCCAAGAGTTAAGAGAGGGGTCGGGGACAGGTGACCTGGGCTCAGCCCCGACAATACCCAGCTGCTCCCCCGACTCCTGATCCCCGTTTTTGAGGAAATAAAGGAATAAACGAACCCCACTCTCTGCGAAGATTTGTCTTTAATTAATAGGATTCGTTTGTCCGAGTTCTGTTCCCAAAGCCGCCGGGCTGCAGCCTCATTCCCGACCCTCTCCCGCTCGGCTGAGCAGCGGCTGGAAGACGCTCAGCCCCTCGGTCTGTCTGGAGGTGCTGGTGGGAGGGGTCGGTCGGTTTATTGGGGATTTAGGGGTTGGTTTAGGCTTTCTGGCTCTAGGGGTGTTGGTGGGGGGACAGGTGAAAGCCAATTCAAAACGAGTTCGCGGGCGCTTTCTGCCGAAGCCGGCGTCTTCTCGGGTCCGCGCGCCGCTGCCCCGGCCATGCTCGGCCGCCGCTGCCCGCCAGCTTCGTTCCCGGCCGAAATTTGAAAAAGGAAAACACGACGCCATCGACTGGAGGACCCGGCCGGCCAGGACTGGTCGCCCGCAGAGCAGGAGGAGGGCGACAGCGACGGCGAGGATGGCGGCGCTGGGGGCCGGGACCGGCGTCCCTCCGGGGCGCGCCGGCGGCGGGGCGCGATCCTCGGGGTCTGCCCGCGGAGCTCCGTCCCTGCGGCCCCCGCCCCTGTTGCACCGGGAGCTCAGCCACAGATGTCCAGCCACAATTCTCGGTTGGCCGCAGACTCGTACAAGAATTGCGTTTGGACAATCAGTGGCGAAGCCCCTGAGTTCGGGGCCCGGTCTCCCGCGAGGCTCCACTTGGCTCCTCCAGCAGCTCGGGACCCGGAGATCGCGGAGCTGCGCATCCCGGCACCTCGCGGACGCTCGGCAGCGGCGGCCCATCCCGCGGTAAGGTGGACGAGCAGCGCGCGGGTCCCGGCCCGGCGTGGGGATCCCCTGCGTCCCTGGCGTGGGTGTCCTTCGATCGCGGCCCGGGGTCCCTAGTGTGGCCCGCGTTGGGTCTCGGCGCCGCCCCAGGTCAGGGGAATCTCCTCTGTCAGGCCCGGGGAACCCCGACTCCCCTCTCCCCGCCCCCAGCCGGGGCTCCACCGGCTCGCCGGGCATCTGGAAGGCAGGGGCCCGAGGCCGGCTTGCGTCTCCGAGCCCGGGGTCCGGGCTGCCGGACCCGTGGGTCCCTCGCCCCCGCCCAGCCCCGCGCACGCACCGGCTCGGGCGCCCTCCGCTTCCCCGGGGCCGAGCCCCGGCCGGGGCGCCGGCGGCAGCGGTGGCCGACGGCGGGGAGCGCTGGAATGCGCCGCCGGGTCACCTGCAGCGCCCGGGGAGCCGGGCCGGGAGCCGGCGGGCTGGCGAGGCGCAGGGCTGAGCCCGAGCGGGCGCCTCTGGCGGCTCGGGGCCGGGGCGGGCTTTTAGTGGGCCGCTCCAACAATACGGGCCTGGCGCGGAGAAAGGGGCTCGGCTGCAATTGGTACTGGATTTGAATAACGCCACGGGGCCATCAATGGTCATTGTGTCGGCGGGTAATGAATCTCCGCTGTCTCTCGGGCTGGCCAGGCAGCTGCAACCTGCGCTCAGGCAGCTCTTAAAGACATAGTGTGCCCCTCCCCGGGGCGCCCCCCCTCTGCACCGGCCGGACCCCTCGCCCTCCAACCCCCACCCTGCATCCTAGACTCCCAATGCCCCGCCTGCTGTCGGGGCCTGAACCCCTGGCTCATCATCCCCTCCCTCCTCCTGGACCAGGCACCCACATCCCTGCCCTGCACTCCCATGAACCTGACTCAGGCCCCTGGCCTTGGCGGAACTCCCCAAGAGTTCAGGGGACCCCAGAGTCTTTTAAGGGCTGCTCCTGGCCTCCTTGTGCAGCTCAACCTGAGGCCTCTGGAGCCCTCCTTCTTTAAGCTTCCGCTCCGGGGCCTTCTAGCTGGAGAGTGAGGGGGAACAGTCCAGAGGTCAGAGAGTCACCCCCTTAAAAGGCTCTGTTGAAGGATAAGGAGGAGGGGATGCATCCCCACCCCCAAGCTGAAGATGCCATCTCCAGGGACTGCACCCCCACTAGGACCTGGAGACCGCTGTCTCCCAGGACCAAGGACAAGGGCTTGCTTCCCAGGCTCCCGCAGACTCCTGGACACCTCAGCTCTAGCAGGGAGTGGGGGTGGGCGGTGGGCGATGGGCATAGGGAGGGGCGTTGGATCTGTTACTGCTTGTCTGGTCATTGTCTCTTCCTCTGGACAGCGCCGTGCAGGAGGGCAGGGCTCTGTCTAGGTCTGGCAGGGAAGCTTCCCAGCCCACCCTCAGAGGACAGCCCCAGTTTCTCACCCTCAGCGTATAGCCTGTCTTTCCCAGTCAGGGGGGTATTCTTCTATCACATCCTGCTCTCCATCCACCCTAGGCTGCCCCGGGCCCCAAGGCACCCCTACCCCAAAAGCCTCTCCTCACATAGTCAGTGGGCCACCTTGCTCAGCGCCCCCGCCATAAGATCATGGCTTTGTTTATCTCACTGGGATGGAAAGTGGGGCCCACTGATCTTTGTGCCCCCAGGGCCTAGGATGTGTCCAGTCCTCAGTGAGTTGTTGGCTATCCATCAGTGACTTAAACTGAACCACATAAACTTCTTAGAGGTTCTTACAAAAGTTGAAAAAAGATGGCTCCTGGAAAGGAAAATTTGAGTCGAGTTCTGTAGCGAGGGGGGCCTGATCACCAGCTCCCAGCTCCTGGGACTACACTCACCATCTGACCATAATGTGACCGCAGTCACCACAAAGTGCCTTCCGTGCCCAGTACTGGTGGCCCCTGGACTCCCCTGGGAAGTAGGTTTGCTACGCCCCATTTTACTGATGAAGAAACTGAGATTGGCTGGCAGGTGAGGCAGTGAGAGCCGGAACCAGGGCTGGGGACTTGATTTTTTTTTAAGATTTTATTTATTTATTTATTTATTTATTTATGCATACTGGGGTACAGACCAAAGGTGCAGGGTGTGAGAGGATTCACCAGAGACAGTGGGGAGCAGAACAGGCAGATCTACTGAAATACACTGCTGAGGGGAGCAGCGGGCGAGACAGGAGAGGTCTGCTGCACCATGTGGGTCATCTCCCTGGCTGGCCGGGGATCGAACTCATGTTGCAGTGGCTGTGGATAGCTTCACAGTGCTGTGCTTAAACGCTTGTGCCACCAGGGAGGCCCTGTGGGACTTGATTTTCCCAGCCCAGGCTTAGCAGATATGCAGGGAACAGATGTGAGTACACATCTGGACACCCTGGGTCTCCTCACACACTCTAATTCTGGCCCGGCAGGACACAGCCTGCCCCAAGTGGTTGGGTGGGCGGGCGGGCATGCTGGTGAGAGTAGTCTCTATGCAGAGAACCCCAGACAGGTGGGCATTCGGGGAGCAGGCTTTTGCATGTCGAGGGTGTGTTAAAGTGGCCACTCCTCAGCAGAGCAGGGTCACAGGCTCCCATCTCTGGGGAAACTGAGAAGCCAGAAGCACCTCACACAAGTCGACAGGACAGAATGAGCACAGGATACACTGCCCGCTGTGCACTCGCTGGGGACTTGGTCCCCAGATGCAGGGGCACAGGTAGGAGGACATCCTGGGGAGCCGGGAGCGAGGCGGAGTTGGGCAGGCACAGAGGCAGGCACCTTTCCAGGCAAAGGGAACACACATTCCAGCTGGCAAAAAAAACAAAAAACAAAACCTGGCTGAGTTCTGGAGGGAAGGAAAGAAATTGGATGGGGCTGGAGCGGAGGGGAGAGGAAGTGCCTGAGAAAGCAAGGGCTGACCCTTGGCTGTGGGGCCTGGGAGGATTTGGGTTTTATCCTAAACGCAGTGGGGATGCTGAAAGGTCTGGGCAAGTTCAGATTTACATTTTTAAAGGTTGGCTGGGGCTGGAGGTTGGAGAAGAGGGAAGCAGGCTGGAAGAGACCAATTGGGCTCTTGCTGGTTTGCAGGTGAGACCCGTGGCCTGGGTTCAGGGTCCAGATCTGTGTTCTGCAGGTCCGGAGCCCTCAGGCTGGTCGCTGGGCTATGAGTCACATTTCCTGAGCCCCTGAGGTGTCCTCCGTGTCTGCCTGAGGCCAGGGCGGGGAGGAGAAAGATGATCCTGACTCTCCAGAAGGGTGGCCCAGTGGAGGAGTGGACAGACACACGTAGCCAGCCCCAGCCACTTGGGAGGGAGCACAGGGAAGCGCTTTAAGCCAACTATTAGCAGCGCTCTCTAGATTATAGAAAACAGCGATTTATTCCAACAGAAAAGATGTGGGAAAACTTCTGGAAGAGGCAGCATTCCCTTGGACTTCCAGGGCAAGTGACTTATGATGCACAGACCTTAGTGATCTCCTCTGTGAAGTGGGACAGTTATGACATCCCGGCTCCCTACCATGCTTAGGTGGTTATCATGTTGGGAGGAACCAAGCACACCCGCCTTTGCTTGCAGTAGGTTTTATCATTTTCTTTTACACACACACACACACACACACCCTGGTCTCATGCATGCACTCACCTGTTCTAGCCTCTGTACACTCCCTGCTCCCTTATTAAAAGCAACTGTCAGGAAGATGCCCACCCCCACCCCCCTAAACTATACCCTTCCTTCCAGGACTGGCGTTTGACCAAACACTGCAGCGCTAAGGATGTGCTCAGTAAACATCTGCAGAATAAATGAATGAATGCATGCTTTATTGGAGTAATAGTTAAAGGACTAGGTAGAGGAAATACAGACATGGAGACACCTGATGAAAGATGAAGTGAACAAAGAATCAGCTGCAAATACCGGGATGTAGTGCGTCAGCTGAAGTTCTAGGTGTGGAACTGGAGGCATCACTGGGGGAGCTCCCTGAAAAGGGCTACCAGGGGCTTCCTTCACTCTGCAGCCTTGATTCTGTGCCCCATGGCAGACCCAAGCACCCTGGGGTGGCACACGGGCAGGAAGCAGCCGTGGTAGTAGGTCGGCCAGGCTACACCTGTGTGGATTCTTCCAACCCTGAGTCCTCCTCTAGTGCTCCCATCACTCCCTCCCAGCCAGGGATAGAGCAGGGGCCCTGCCGCTCTTCAGTGTGCCTCCCAGGCCAGGCCCGCTTCCCACTCCAGATGCCCCGTGTACCCCAGAGACCTCTGGAAGGGGCCTGTATCTTGCCAGTCACCGGCTGAGTGGCCTGCCTGCAGGTATGCGTTGACAACCTGACATGTTCCCACTTTTAAAGATGACAGAGCCAGGCCATGGTCCCCACTCCAAGGGGATCCTCAGAC